ATGTAGAAGTTCCTAATAAGAGACTCCTGGAAAATATAGGCTTCTCCTATCTTATTTCTGCAGTATCTGTGTTTTCTTACAGCTTACATATGGCTCATATACAATAGATGAGGCCAAAATAATGGAAGTTCCTCCCTTTTACCAAATGGTCCCAAACGAAAACCTTCAATATATGGGGATTATATCACTACTTCAGCATTTTAGGTGGACCTGGGTTGGGCTGTTTGTTTCAGATGGAAATAGTGGAGAGCAATTCCTCAGAATACTGGAGTCATTGTTTTCCAGAAATGGAATCTGTTCAGCCTTCACTAAAAGAATCCCCAAAGAAGCTCACATGGAGGATTTCATAAATCAATTTTATCATAAAAGTACGATTAATTTATCCTTCCAAGATCATAAAGCTGGTACAATTATCTTGTATGGAGAATCTTTAACAATTTTACGACTGAGAACTTTTATGCGTTTACAAGATTCAGGAAATATGAAAAACACATTATTTGGAAAGGTGTGGATTGTGACAACCCAGACAGATTTTATATTAACTGGTGCTTCAAGAGGATGGGATTTTCAGATATTCCAGGGTACCATTTTATTTGCTATTCACACAAAAGAGGTTCCAGGTTTCAGGGAATTTCTTCAGAATATAGAACCTTACAGGACAGAAAGAGATGGTTTCATCAAAAATTTCTGGGAGCAAGCATTTGATTGTTCATTTCCAGATCCAGGTATGTCTGTGATGGACGATGACACTTGTACTGGAGAGGAGAGGGTGGAGAGTCTCCCTGCAGGTCTTTTTGAAATGCACATGACTGGACACAGCTACAGTATCTATAATGCTGTTTATGCTTTGGCTCATGCTTTGCATGCCAGGGACTTTGCTGGATCCAAACATAAATCAAAGGCAGTTGGTAGCAGTGTCGAACTTCATTGTCTGCAGCCTTGGCAGGTAATGTCTCCTCAACAAATTCTTCATATTTCAAAGTACATATTCATATAGGTTGAGAATACATAATTTTTTATACTGCTTGGATAAATGATTACAATATTATACATCTTCACATTTCAAAAATTGTGCATACATTTCCTTTCTATGAACGCAACTTCAGAGTGCTGTTATTCTGTTTTGATTTATTTTGCTTTTTTTCAAATAGCTCCACCAGTTTCTTCTAGGCATCTCATTTAACAACTCAGCTGGAGAAACCATGTCCTTTAATGATCAATGGGAAATGAGTGGTGGATTTGACATCATGAACTTGATCACCTTCCCCAACAATTCCTTTCAGAGAATAGAAGTTGGAAGTGTTGTTCCATACGCTCCTAAAGGGAAAGTATTCACCATTAGAGAGGACAAAATTGTCTGGCACAGATATGTCAATGAGGTATTTATTCTGGGTCTGTCTTAGAAAACCCATTGTGTTGAACTATGAAGGAATGAGTATTTTTCTCTCCATAAACTGGTCTTGCAATAGCACCTGAAACTCTACAATGAATTCAATTATTCCTTTCACATTCAGAAACCACAGGTCTCTTCAGAGCAGTGCAAATGGTTCCTCTCATTACGAACATGCCCAGTTTGGGAAGGAGGTGGAAGGGCTCTAGGCACCCTGCAGGTGCTCTTTCACCTCCTTCTCAAAGACCAGCATGGTGAAAGAGCTAGTGGCGGGCGGTGGGTGGGTTTCATGCTGTCATGACATCTGGGCTCCATTTAACATTAAGACTAATGCTGGTATCACTACATTTCAACACATTATGCCAACTTGGTTGATGTCATGATCTATCAAAGTAAATCATACCAAATGTTCGGACTGGCTCACATAAGATTGTGTCTACCTGACAACATAATCTTAGTGAGCTGTCTTGCCTGTCTGTCTCCTTTGTCCTATTTCGTTCCTCTTGCAGTGTAGTATTTACACCATCATATTACTTCAGCAGAAATTCGATGGCCATCTGTCATGGATTCTTTAGTTCAGATTGCAGGGGGTTGGACTAGGTGACCCTTATGGTCTGAACATGCTGCAAGGCTGTCTTCCATGCTATAGTATATGGTTTGGGGGTGAGCCACATTAGCAAGCTAGCAAGATTTCCCCTCCACCCATATCACTAATTCTAAAAACAATCAAATATGTATATGGATAGGTGGTTCCCATTTCTTTGTGTAATGCGTACTGCCATCCTGGTCATCAGAAGAAAAGGAAGGAGGGTGAGAAGTTTTGCTGCTATGATTGTGCTCCATGTCCGGAGGGGAAGATTTCAAACCAAACTGGTAGGTCATGTCATCTTGCCATAAAAAGGGGTAAAAATAATTTGCTGTATTAAATGAACTGTCACTAAGATGGAACTCCCCCATCCCAACACATTTTTCAGATACGGAAGACTGTTTTCAATGCCCAGAAGATCAGTATCCAAGCAAGAACAGAAATCAGTGCATTCCCAGAATTATACATTTTCTGTCTTATGAAGAACCTTTAGGCAAAGGCTTAGCTTCAGCTGCTGCTTCCTTTTCTTTTATCACAACCTTGGTGTTTGCTACATTCCTTAAACATAAAGATACCCCCATAGTTAAAGCCAACAACCGGGACCTCAGCTACATCCTCCTGGTCTCTCTCCTGCTCTGCTTCCTTTCCTCTTTGCTATTCCTCGGCCAACCTGGGAAAGTTACCTGCTTTCTTCGACAACCAGCGTTCAGCATCATCTTCTCAGTTGCTGTTTCTTGTGTGTTAGCCAAAACCATCATTGTTTCTCTAGCATTCATGGCCACAAAACCAGGATCAGGAATGAAGAAATGGGTGGAGGGGAAAGTGTCATATTCAATTGCTGTTTGCTGTTCATTTGTTCAATCGCTCCTTTGCACAGTGTGGCTCTCAACATTTCCCCCATTCCCTGATTTAGACATGCATTCAGTGAATGAAGAAATCATTGTACAGTGTAATGAAGGGTCTGTCACCATGTTCTATTGTGTCCTGGGCTACATGGGTCTCCTGGCCATCAGCAGCTTCATTGTGGCCTTCCTGGCCCGCAAGTTACCTGACAGTTTTAATGAAGCAAAGTTCATCACCTTCAGCATGTTGGCATTTTGCAGTGTTTGGCTGTCGTTTGTTCCAACTTACCTGAGCACCAGAGGGAAAGGCATGGTGGCTGTGGAGATCTTCTCCATCTTGGCCTCAAGTGCTGTGCTTCTGGGATGCATCTTTTTCCCTAAGTGCTATATCATTTTGCTGAGGCCTGAACTGAACAGCAGGGAGCATATAATGAGGAGACAACATTGAGGAATTTTTCCTCTGTTCTCCAATTATACTGCTTTGCTTGATGAGCATGTTTTTCAGATACAAATCAGTTAGAAGAACAGGGGCCAGAAACCTTCAGTCTCCCTGTGTGACTTGTGAGGCCGCTTCCCCAAAAGTACTCTCACCAGATGTTCACCTGACTTCATATGTATATGAAGTCAAGATAGGAGCAGGTTGAGACATGCCTACCGAAAGCAGGATTGAACTCCTTGCACAGCAGCTGATGTGTGGGAAGCTCAGTCCTACTTACCTCAACTATGCTAGAGATCTCCACCAGGGAGAAGCATAATTGAACCCCCAGTTATCAGCTGCTGTATAAGGTGTTCAGTCCTTCTTTCTTTGGATGCAGCAGCCAAATTCTGTGAGTTGCTGGCTTTTCTTTAAAAACTTAGCAGATAGCAGGATTGAGCTCCTCAGACATCAGCTGCTGCAAGGGACTTCAATCCTACTAGGCTCACATCTCTCCCACCCACAAAAGCCAACTTTGATTTTCACCTCTCAATATCTTTAAATCTCTCTAGAAAGCATTGATATGATTTTTCCTTAGCCACCCCCATCAGATGGCTCCTTTAGCTATCTCAGAAAACGTCTATTTTGAAAAGAAGCTGTGTGCATTGTTCTGTGCTTAAAATGCTCTGTATCCTGATTTCACAGTGGAATTCACAGTGGAAACAGAACCTTTGGTAAGCACCTGGAACCTCTGAAATCTTACTACCACTTGGAACAGATTGGGGTAGTGTGTAACAATGTTTTGTCATTTTAACTGTGGGAATCATCCTTCCCAGTTTGCTTGAAAACTAATGTTTTCAATTGTAATGGGGACTGATTCTCTATTAGCATTTCCATGAGAACAGTGGATTGGATTCATCAAGTGCATCATCAACACATCACCCACCTTGCTACAACTCAACATACCCAATGCTACTATCATGGACAGGGACTAATGTGAAAGTTATATGCATTTAGGAAATGGCACCTGAACCAAGCACTTGTACCCATGGCTTGTTTATGTATCACTTACATAATTTGAAGAGACACTCATCACTTTCATTTCCCTACTTCCAACAAAATTTCATATTTTATAGAGGAAGCACTTTACCCAAAGAAAGAAAAAAACATTTTTTTCATAAAAATTGCCTATGCTGTGTGTTTAAATGCTCAATCCGAAAGCATTTCTATAGGTTTAATAGAACTGCAATACCTCTCACAATAGTGAGGAAGGCGATGACCATGTGGCCTCTGTGCCAACTCAGCTATGGTGTCCAGTCAACACTTTATAGAAATCCTCAAGGTCCTTTCTGCTTGGCTTCCTTGCAATTCTTATCTTTGAGCTAGCATAAAGAACTATAAAGCAAGACACCTGATCATTCTACAAAGGGCACAGACATGCTTTTGTTACTAACATAAAACAGTTAAAGTAATGTGTGAATAGGCACCTCCCAAGCTCTTATAAGTTCCATTGCTGGAGACCTTCTAAATTAAACTTTTGAATTTCTGTATATCAATTTGTATTTATTAGATCTTCTTCTTGGACATATATTTCATACTTGATGTTTCACATATTACAGAAAGAATCTTCCTCTTGCTTTGACAAGAAGGAAATAAGGATTGTGGGAGCGGGAGCCTAATGTCATAGGATCATAGAATTATAGCCTTGGAAGGGACCGTGGGGATTACCGTATCTATAGTCCAACCAACCTGCAATGCAGAAACATTTCATCCAACTTGGGGCTTCAACCTAGGACCCTGAGATTAAGAGTCCCATGCTCTACTGACTGAGCTATCCCATCCAACCCTGTTCCAATTTTATGTCCTAAAGTGGGACTTTTAAACTTTAACTATACTTAATGCTTGTCCGTCTACCCCTTTATTAAAAATTTCAAAGACAAGAGATTCTAAGAGAAGTCCTTTCCCTTGCTGAGCATCTATATTTTACTGTACTGAACTTTCAATCTGAATCTGCCTTCCTGCCTCATACTATGACACTATTCTTTCAGCCACATCCCCCCCCCCCATAAATATGGGTCACTATTTCTTAAGCCGTGTCTCCTATGTATGCACAAAGAATAACAGTTGCCAAAGGACTGGGTTACTCTTTTTACCCTGAGTGATATGCAAATACAAGGACAGCTTCCTGTTTAAAGCAGTCAAAACACTCTCCAGCCCCAACTCCATCCACAGTTGCAACCCCTGTGTGATTGGGATCACTTTCCAGACAACCTTTTCTTTTCTTTTCTTTTCTTTAAAAGAATGATCCTTTTACTTCAATCAGTTTGTGTTTTGGCAGTTTTCAGAGGTCATTGTTATTCCCCCCCCCTTCCCCATGCAAGAAAACATTTGAAGTCTACTCATTAATGTCTAGAGAGCTTTATGATATCTCTTTCTTTACAGGTATCCAATCAGAGGTTCGACTAGAGGAATCTGGAGGGGACATAAAAAGACCTGGAGAGTCCCTCCGCCTCTCCTGTCAAGCCTCTGGTTTTACCTTCAGCAGCTACTGGATGAACTGGGTGCGGCAGGCTCCTGGGAGGGGACTGGAATGGGTTGCAAGGATAAGCAGTGGTGCAGGAAGCTCACAATATTACCCTGACTCAGTGAAAGGGCGCTTCACCATCTCCAGGGATAACCCTTCCAACAGGCTGTTTCTGCAAATGAGCAATCTGAAACCAGAAGACACAGCTATATATTACTGTTTGAGAGAAGGCACAGTGAGAGGAAGTGAATCTGAAGGCTGGCAAAAACCCTCCTTGGTCATGCCAGCTCTCCAATTTGATTATGTAATAGGACACGGGAGCTAGTAGAAAGGAGACTGTTGAGGACATCAGAAGAGTTACTGTCTTCTCAGACCTAAAATTCCATCTAAATGAGGCTTATTTTCCCCACAATGGCCAGTCAGACTCTTCAGGTAACCCTCCTCTGAACAAAGTACAGTGGACGCTCGGGTTGCAAACATGATCCATGCAGGAGGCACATTCGCAACCCACAGTGTTGCGTCTGGGCATGGGCGGGTCACAATTTGGTGCTTCTGCACATGCGCGAGTGCCGAAACTCGGAAGTAACCAGTTCTGATACTTCTGGGTTCGGCGCAATGTGCAACCCGAAAACGCACAACCTGAAGCATCTGTAACCCAAGGTATGACTGTATGGGATCCCAAAAGTCAGTAAAATCTATGGCTACCATACCATATTATGGCAGCTGCTTCTGTTCCTATAGATATGTCCATACCAAAATTTTGGAGGCGAGGCAGACAGTGATTTATATATAGGCACATGCTGGTCATCAGTGCAGGTGGGGAATATACAAATACAAAAAAAAATGGGAAACTGTGGTATATATAACATAGAAACACCCTAAAACCAAGTATGACAGCTCACCATATTTTTCTCACAAGGGGGCAGTCGAGCTTTGAAGATTACAAAGCACCATTTTGCCATGGGGTCGGCAGAGTTAACACAGAATGATGTTCTGTGGTTTCAGCTGCAGGAATGATTATTTCCTGTTTGCTTCGAAACTAATGTACTGGTTGCATTGGAGGGCTGATTCTCCATGAACGTTTCTTGCAGTTCTCTATTAAAAGTCAAAGGATCCTTCTTCCCCCACCCCAAGAAACTGCTTAAAACTGATGGAATTGCTTACAAGGCATTGAAATTATCATTAATCCTTCCTGGTGAATTTTCTGATCCTCTCTGCAGCTGTCATGGAGGGTGGAAGGAAGAGAATCTGCAAAACTTGCTAATATGTTATTTATCGCTTTTATATGTTACATTTATATCCCACAATTCCTTCAAGTAGCTCAAGGTGGTGTACATGGTTGTTCCTCTCCCCTTTTCATCCTTACAGCATCCCTGTGAGGTAGGTTAGGCTGAAATACAGTGACTGGCAAAGGTCACTCAGTTGACTTCATGGCTGAGTAGGGACTACTACCCTGGTATCACAGGTCTTACTTCAGTAGTACTCTGACCCCTATGCCACACTGCAAGGGGTATAAGGATGGGACTAAGGTGGAAGCAATTAAGCTATTGAGAGCTTGGCAAGTAGGAACTGGGGCAAGCATAAGTATACATGACTTGTTTCTGTGTAATCTACAGGGAAATCATGTATGAAGAGACACCCTTCACTTTTATTCCCCCAGTTCAAACTATGTTTTATATGAAATACATCAGCTGAAATACATCATTCCTGGTTGAGCCCCTTTGCATTAAAAAAACAGGGGGGAAGTTCACCTGCAAATTATAGAATACATTTTAATGAATATGAGAAATTATTTGTCCCATCAGATCTGGTTTTGATGAGAATGTGGGGGCACATTCTTTAAAAAATGTGCAATAATATAGAAGGAATATTTGCCCCACTCTCCAAATAGCGGCAAAAATGCTAGTTTGGTACATCTGATGAATAATTACTGGTCATCTCACATGTCTTGTGTACTAGATAAGTACAAGGATAGTTTAGCCAAAGCAATGAGTTGCTCTTTTATCCTGAGCTGCATGTAAATGAAAGGGCAGCTTCCTGTTTAAATCAGTCAAACACTTTCCTTGCCTCCGCTACACTCAGAGATATAATTGCTTCATTACTTCCAGTCATTTCTACACATAGCACAACAGAGAAGGGAGGAAAAATGAGACTTTGGTTTCCATTTGTTTTCCTTTCAGCAGTTTTGGGAGGTAATTCTTATTTTCAAAAAAAGAGGACTGGTACATTCTACAGTAAATATATAGAATTTCTTTCTTTCTTTCTTTTTCTCAAAAATGAATGTATTTTGTTCCAGGTGTCCAATCCGAAGTCCAACTGGTGGAATCTGGTGGGGATGTCAAAAGACCTGGAGAGTCCCTCCGCCTTTCTTGTCAAGGCTCCGGGTTCACCTTCAGCAGCTATGGCTTGCACTGGGTGAGACAGGCCCCCGGGAAAGGACTAGAATGGGTTGCAGTGATCTGGTATGATAGTAGCAAACAATATTATGCCGACTCTGTGAAAGGCCGCTTCACCATCTCCAAAGACGACCCTGCAGCAATGCTGTATCTGCAAATGGACAACCTGAAACCAGAGGACACAGCTGTGTACTACTGTGCAAGAGACACAGTGAGAACAAGTGAATCGTAAGCCAGACAAAAACCTCATATGCCAGCTGCCTCGACTGATTCATCTGCAACAGCAACAACAACAGATAAAACAAAAAGTTTGGAGAAGGGATATAAATGGCTTGTTGTGTACCAGCATATTTTCTGCTAGTTCCAATGAATTGTGTTGAGACAAATGGGAGCATGTGGCCTTAAGTCCAAGACCATGTGTCACTTCCCACAATATGGGAACGCTCAGGAGAAGTCTAGACCAGGCTTCCTCAACCTCGGCCCTCCAGATGTTGAGACTACAATTCCCAGCATCCCTGACCACTGGTCCTGCTAGCTAGGGATCATGGGAGTTGTAGGCCAAAAACATCTGGAGGGCCGAGGTTGAGAAAGCCTGTAATTCAGAAATCAGTTCCCCCAGCAATTCCTTTCCTAATAAGTTCAAATTTTCAATGTGACCTTTTGCACAATGTAAAATCCACTTCTGGAAATCAAGCAGAATCATTTCTGTATTAATTGCTTCCATAAGACATCTGTTTGCAACCCTGTTAACTCGAGAAATCGTGGCAAATTTATGCGGCTGTTTTCCCACCATGTTCACAGATCACCTCATGTGGTGAAATTTGGGGAAGAAATGGAATTCTGGCATACCATTATTTCCTCACAATTTTCATGAGTGAATCATAACAGAACAGAAGCATGCATTCCCATGGTGACCTATCCACTGTTGTGTCACACTGTTGTGAATGAAATTTAACACATTTTTTGTGATTTCTGCCTGGTCACTGCTTCCTGCTGCAGTATTCCAGCTATGTCTGGGGAAAATCCAGATGTATGGCAACCCTACTGTTACTTTCACTCGCTGTATGCCTTTGGAGGATGGCTGTTCATGCTGGAAACAGCTGGAGGGAGAGTGCTTTGGTGCTCGGCTTCCGGGTTGGCGCCTCTGGGGCTTCTGGGTTGCCGCCTCTGGCAATGGCGGATTTCCTCCGATCGGGAGGAATCCGCTCCGTGGAAAACAGGGTCTGAACCGCCACGGCGAGGCGGACACCCATTAAAAACCACAGGCGGGAGAAGCCTGTGGACGTGGGATTCGGCTGGCACCTTTGCGCCTCCCCTACTCATGGGGAAAACCTGTTTTGGGGATCCGGAGCGATGTGGGGTGAGTGGCGTGGTGCTTTGAATCGACTGCTTTTTTCACGGAGTGAAGCCACATTGCTGTTGCCGGAGAGCGCTGACTTTTTCCTGTGGACAATTGGATTTTAAACAACTGCCTGTGAGTAGAACGGAAAATTGGATTAAGATTTTATTATTATTATTATTTGGCACTGAAGCAGGAAGGTCTAAACAGGAAGTCCGCCTTCCGTTTTTGTAGATAGATTGAAGCAAAGACACAGCAAACTAGAGTTTAGAAAGTCGTCTGTAAAAGATCAAATTTTCATCATTTAAAATTACTGAACCCCCCTTGGAAGCAGGAGAAGAGGGGGGGAACCTTTTTTAGACTGTTTAAACCTGCAGAAGAGAGAGTAAAGAAAGGCAATTTTCCACCGTCTTGAACCTGGGAGCGGGGTGTCAGGACAGACGTTCTGGGGAAGTTCATTGACTATGGACAAACGTTTTTGACAGATAGTTAAAAGAAGAGAAACATATTGATTCCATTGTTCCCCTTCACATTTAAAAGGAACAAAATATTGACAAAATATCTGAAAAAGGAAAACTTTGTTGCTAGATCTGCTTTTCATAAAAAAAAAAAGATGGATACAAATAGAAATTTTTTCCCCTAGAGGGAGCTTGTGAAACTGTTATTAAAACCGAACTGGGGAGCTTTGCAGCTGCAATAGATTAAGATCGTGGGACCAGACTTCGACCTTGAACAAGAATGTACTCGGAGGCTCTGGCGCTTGCCTTTTGCAAGACAAGTGCTTTATTGGAACTGTTACATGAGAAGATGGATTTGATGACTGTTGCGATCGGAAATTTTGGACAGGCAGTGGGTACCTATATAGAACCCACTCAGGAATTAATCCAGGAATGTGCTTTGACAGATCAGATGAGGGAGGAGGTTGTTGCTGGACCTCAGGTGGCAGAGATGGAGGGAGCTGTGGCCCAGCAGGAATATGAGTTGTTGGATTCGACGAACGAACCTGGAAAAAGTCAGATTTGGAGAGATGGAGTCCAGTTTGGCTTGGAGATGGGGGCTGGATGGACCCCCTATGCAGGGATGTTTTGACCTTCAAGTCTGGCTTTGGGCTGGGGGAGCTCGGAGTTGTGGGGGCCTTTAACTTTGGAGGGACCTTGAAACATGCCTTTAAATACCACATGGATTTCAGTGTTGACTATGGAAAAGGGGTTGATTTGTCGAGAAGGGACAAAAATATTGTCAAGCTGGAGTCTCCCCGAGTGAAAGGAGCAGAAGACAAAGTAAAGTACAGGTATAAATATGAAGAAGACCTGCAGAAGGGACATGGAAGGGACTTAAGAGCCTCGGATAGAAGGTCACCAGGTTGATGGACTAGATGGATGGGATAGAAAGGACTGACAAAACCCGAGACCAGGAAGAAGAGACGATGGATGAAGAAAGTTTTAAAAATTCATTTAGAAAAGTATCGTAAAATTAATGAGTATTAGAAAAATGTTGGAATGAAATTATTTGGCTTTAGCAGAAATGTTAAAAAGCATTATGTAAGAATATGTTATGGTTAAGAGAATTTGGAATAAATAAGATTTAAGTTTTTAAGTTTTAGGGTTTTTTATGGTAAGATAAGGTTAAAATAGATTAAGGTAATTTAATGACAGAATATTGTGAAAGATGGAAAGGATTTGCTGAGATAATTAACAACTAGAATACAAAAAAAGGAGGTGTGAGGAGGTCGATGAAATAAGGTAATGACAGTTAAGGATCTGGGAATATTGGATCTGTTTTTTAATTTTTTTGTCTATTTTTGCTTTTTGATTTTGATGTATTGTGTGTTTTGCTTTTGCTTTTTGACCTTGGTTTTTACTGATTTGTATTGTTTAATTGTTATTTTTATCTACTTTTTTTCTTTCTTTTTCTCTTTCTCTTGATTTTTCCTTCTTTTTTTTCTTTGTAATCTTAAAATTTTCAATAAATATCTTTAAAAAAAAAAAAAAAAAGAGTGCTTTGGTGCTCAAGTCCAGCTTGCAGCTTTTCCTCAGGCATCTGGTTTCTGGTTGGTCACTGAGAGAACAGGATGCAGGTCTACATGGGTCATTGGCCTGAATCAACCATCTCTTCTTAAGTTCTTACTGTTTCAGAAAGTGGTCAAACTCAAGGGCAAACTCAATATAATACCCCCTCTATCCCTACTCATAAGTCATTAGTACTGTATAAGCACAAAGATTGTTAACTTTTTTTTTTTTTTATAATATTTTTTATTGCATTTTTCCAGATAGAAATACAAGGTCAGATATACAAAGAAATAACAGAAAAAAGAAAGAAAAAGAAGAAAATCATCTTTTCAAAACATTTTTCCATAACCAACCGGACTTCCCCCCGTCCCCCTCACCTTGCGTTCTTTACAATAAAATTTTTCAGCAAATTATAACCTTATTTTGTGCATTCTTTTGTTCTTTCAAATACTTGTGATTTGCGTTTAAAATGCTTATTGTCAATTTACACTAATAATATATATAATGTTCTTTTAAACGTTAGTCCTTTCATTAATATAGCTTAGTTTCCCATACCTTAATCTTATTGCTGGAGCTGAATTTCCCTAATCATGCGAATTCTTAACATTCATATAACTTATAAAATTTTTGTAAATAATCTTTAAATTTTTTCCAATCCTCCTCCATTGCTTCTTCCTCCAAATCTCGGATCCTGGCGGTCATCTCGGCCAATTCCATGTAGCCCATCAATTGCGTCTGCCACTCTTCCAGCGTGGGTAAATCTTGAGTCTTCCAGTATTTTGCGATAAGAATTCTTGCTGCTGTAGTTGCATACATAAAAAGGATCTATCCTTCTTTAACACCTACTGACCGACAATGCCCAGTAGGAAGGCCTCTGGTTTCTTGGGAAAAGTGTCCGTAAACACATTGTTTAACTCGTTATAGATCATTTCCCAGAAGGCCTTCACTTTTGGGCAAGTCCACCAGAGGTGAAAGAATGTCCCTTCAGCCTCCTTACATTTCCAACATTTATTATCAGACAAATGATATATCTTAGCAAGCTTGACTGGGGTCATGTACCACCTGTATATCATTTTCATAATATTCTCTTTCAAGGCATTACATGCCGTGAATTTCATACCAGTGGTCCATAACCTTTCCTAGTCTTCAAACATAATGTTGTACCCAATGTCCTGAGCCCATTTTATCATGGCTGATTTAACTGTCTCATCCTGAGTGTTCCATTTAAGCAGCAAGATATACATTCTCGAAAGTACCTTGGTCTTTGGTTCCAACAATTCTGTCTCTAGTTTCGATTTTTCCACCTGGAAACCTGTTCTTTTGTCCAGCTTAAAAACCTCTTGAATTTGAGCATAGTGAAGCCAATTTTGCACCTTATTCTTTAATTTTTCATAACTCTGCAGCCTCCAAGTTTCTCCTACTTTTTCTATGATTTCCCATATTTCAGCCAACCAACCTCCATATTAGGTTTTTTCCGGGCCTTGGCCTCTGCTGGTGAAAGCCACCTCGGAGTCTTACCCTCTAATAAGTCCTTGTATTTTGTCCAGACCATAAATATTGATTTTCTAACAATATGATTTTTGAACATTTTATGAACCTTTGCCTTGTCGTACCACAAATATGCATGCCAACCAAAAGCATTATCAAACCCTTCCATGAAGATTAGCATGGCCCCTGCACAAAGATTGTTAACTAAAGGCCTATGTTTCTCTTGCTGTTTAAATTAGCCAGACACTATCGCTGTCCTGGATACATCCAGAGATAGAACAGCTGGACAACTTTCCAGTTAGTTCAGAGCACAGGGGAGAAGGGCGGAAAATGACACAGTGCCTTCAATTTGTTTTGCTTTCAGCAGTTTTGGGAGGTTCAGATATGTTCAGATAAAGAGGACTAGTACATTCCATCATTAATTTGAAGCAGTTTGTTTAATAGCGTGGCATAGCGGTTAGAGCAGGCATCCCGAAACTCGGCCCTCCAGATGTTTTGGGACTACAACTCCCACCATCCCTAGCTAACAGGAACAGTGGTCAGGGATGATGGGAGCTGTAGTCCCAAAACATCTGGAGGGCCGAGTTTGGGGATGCCTGGGTTAGAGGGTTGGACACCAGAGTTCAAATTGGTACAGGGCGATTTGGGCCAGTCCCTGCCTTTCATCCTAACCTTTCTTACAGGGTTAATAGGAGGATTAAATTATGAGGGGCTGTACTACATAGGCCATCTTGAGCTCCTTGAAGAAAAAGGTGGGACATAAATGCAATAAATTAAGTAATAAGAAATAAAATAAATTATATGTATTTCCTTCCAGGTGTCCAACCAGAAGTCCAGCTGGTAGAGTCTAGATGGGGTGTAAAAAAGCCTGGAGACCCCCTCCACCTCTCCTGTCGAACCTCTGGGTTCACCTTTGGCATCCATTACTTCCATTGGGTGCAACAGGCTCCTGGGAAGGGACTGGAATGGATTGCAATAATGTGGTGTGGTGGTAGCAATCAATACTATGCTTAGTCAGTGAAAGGCCGCTTCGTCATCTCCAAAAACAACCCTTCAACTACAGTTTATTTGCAAATAAACAATCTGAAACCTGAGGACACAGCTGTGTATTACTGTCCAAGAGGCACAGTGACAGGAAGCGATGCTGAAAGCAGGCAAAGACCTCTTTTGCAGCTGTCTGGACTGATTCAGCTGTGACCACAAGAGACATAAAATGAAGAATTTAGGAGAAAGGAGATAAATTGATTTGCAGAGTTAAAGTTTCAGTTAGGTTGATTTTATTGCGTTGGCTCCAATGGGAGTGTATGGCCTTAAATCAGAGAATTATTCTTGGATTTTATAATAGAGTGCTCAGAGGAAGAAGAAGAAGAAGAAGAAGAAGAAGAAGAAGAAGAAGAAGAAGAAGAAGAATAGTTTGGATTTGATATCCCGCTTTATCACTACCCGAAGGAGTCTCAAAGCGGCTAACATTCTCCTTTCCCTTCCTCCCCCACAACAAACACTCTGTGAGATGAGTGGGGCTGAGAAACTTCAGAGAAGCGTGACTGGCCCAAGGTCACCCAGCAGCTGCATGTGGAGGAGCGGAGACGCGAACCCGGTTCCCCAGATTACAAATCTACCGCTCTTAACCACTACACCACACTGGTTCTCAGAAGAAGCCTAGGCTGCATTCAGACATCAATTTATTCCTTTTCCCCAACATTTCATATCCTGATAATTTCTGGGTTTAAGTAACCATACACAGAATGCTAAATCCACGTCTAGAAATCTAGTAGAATCATTCGTGCTCATTTGCATATTAATTGTTTCCAGAAGAAAACTCACTTGCAGCCCCATTGGCCCTGAGAATTCTAAAAATCTACAATATGTGCACAGAGAAAGTTGTGGGAGGTTTGCTCTATAATTCCCCACTACCACCAATCTGGAACAGAGCATTTTCACAGATGAATGATGAGAGAATAGAAGCACATACGTGCATAAAGCATGGTACCAAGTTCAATGTTATCCACTATTGTATCATTGATATGAATGACATTTAGCATGACATGGTGGTACATTGATTATATACTCAGAGCGCTCTGACTGAGCATAGTTAGAACAAATCAGGGTTGCTCTCATTTTCTAAATAATAAAGATAATATTAAATTTCTGCATCACTGCTCATTCAAAGCTCAGAGCACAGCTCGCAGCTCGCAACACAAAACCATAAATATACAGCATAATAACAAACAAAAACAATTCTGTCCACAGTTTAAAAGGCCATAGATTGTTTAATCAACCAAAGGCTTGGGAAAAGAAGAGTGCTTTTGCCTGGTACTTATTTGCTTATTTGCTTTTTAAATGAGGTGTGTTTTTATGCTTATGTCACTTTCCAATTTTGAAAAACAGAAATAGTGCCCAAGGCAAAGGCAATCTAAGATTTGTGAGGGGTGTCTCAGTGAAAAAACTTCTCAAAACGTCAGTATTCAGCCAAAATGAGGACTTGCAAAAATTCATCTTCCTGCTGCTTTCTGGTTGTGGGAAAGCAAGGGACCCATAAAAGGGTGTGTGTGACCAAGAGGACTTTTTTAAATGATGGACCCACTTCCCACTGGTGGACGCAGAGCTTTGAGCATATCCTCAGTTTGGATCATCTCTCTTTATCTGATTCCCATCACTAGATGCAAAGTTGATGCAAATTCCTGTCCAAAAAGTTTTCTATTTAAATAGCTCCACCCACACCAAGTCTTCAGATGCTCAGCTGGACCAAATTAGCTGTCAATCCAGAGGGAGGAGTTTCTCTCTGCAAACAATGAAGGCCCCCTTTCTTTTCCTTTCCTTGTTAACAGTGCCATTGTGTGAGTATCTTCCAGATAAACATTTTAAAAAATCAAATATCACAGATGGACAAATTGCATGGTAAACCAAAGTCTTGTTGTTTTCTTTAGATGTCCACTGCAGTGTCCAACTTGTGGAATCTGGACCAAGGGTTGTGAATCCTGGAGGGTCCCTGAAACTAACCTGCACTGTCACTGGGGATTCTGTCAAGAGTAATTTATGGGAATGGGTCCGACAGGCTCCCGGGAAAGGACTGGAATGGATTGGCCATATAGACTGGTATAACAGCAAATGGGTCTTATACAACAACCCATCACTCCAAGACCGAATCACTGTGACTGCCGATGCCTCCAGAAATACATACGATATGGAGCTGCGATCTGTGACAGCTGCAGACACGGCTATATATTATTGTTCCCGCAGGACACACAGTGAGATAAACCAAAGGAGAAACTGTACAAAAAGGTGGAGGCATCTGTTACTGGGATGAAGTGTTGGAGCATCTCCTAAAATTATTTCTGTTTCTCACAAGGGGGCAGCAGTGATTTAAAGACTAAGAAGCCATCGACCACAACTGAAATAAAGCCTTGTGTCATGTTTTGCGGTTACAGCTGTGAGGCTAAATATTGTTTCCTCAGCTGCCTCATTTCACTGACTGCATGAGAGTTTGATTCCCCGAGAGACATTCTCACAACTTTCTATTCAGAGCCAAGAAAACTGTCATTGCTAATAAGCTAAAATGCTTGCTAGAAGCTTTATCTGACTTGGCTGTTGTTCTCGTCTTGCAGCAGTTCCTTTTAGCATGAACTTTTAAACTTGCTGATAGCTGCACTGGTGGTGTCTGGGCTGCAAACTGAGAACACAGGAAGTTAGGCTACTACACAGAGTCAGATCACTGGTCTCATCCAACTTGCTGATATCCACACTGACTAACAGCAGCTCTTCATGCTTCAGAACTAGGATATTTAAACAAGGGCTTCTTTGAGGCTTTCCCCTTCCAGCCTGGGGCCAGTCAGGCAGCTTTAGAGATGCTCCTGTTCCTTGCTGCCTCACCCTAGTTTGTTTCACTCTGAGAAAGGAGACTCTTAGCCACACAGAGTTTACAGGGAAGGGGGCTGTTGTTTCCTTATCTGTGATCCAAGAGCTGCTAGCTTTTCTGGGCATTAGCAGGCTAGCCATAGGGGCCAAAGGGGCATTTCTACTTCAGCAGCTGGCTAGCCAAGCCAAAGAGACCAAAGACTGGTGACTGTCCTGGGGGCTTGAGCCTGTCCGGTGAGGTGTCAATACTAGAGCTGATTTCTATTCTATTCCATACTTTCCTACCAAAAGTCCATATAATCTAAGCTTCTTTTCCTGACATTGATTAGTCAGAATCTTCCAGAAAGCCCCACCAGGAGATGTAGGCAATGTCACCTCTATTCGTCTTCAGCAAGAGGGGGAAATGTGGGTGTGGGTAAAAAGTGGTTCTGCTCCTGGGTGAAGTGAGGCAAGTTGCCATGGAGGTTAAAGCCATATGGCAGCAGCATGTTAGCCAGTTTTGGGGAAAGAGAGACTGACTCTTTAAGTCCACTTTGCCCCAGAATATTCCGCTTTCCAATTTTGAAGTCCCACCTTCCTGCTTTGTGTAGGCCTAACTGTTCCTGGCAGACAATAAGTGCAATTGACACAGTGGGAGAGTTGAGTTACATTGGTTGGAAATAAAAGCAGACCACTTTCTGACATGATGCTTGAGCACTCAGATTTGAGTATAGCTGGGATAATCAGTGTCACTCTTATTTATTTATTTTTAATACTGATACCAAATTTCTACACTGCTCCTCAACTGAAAATAACAGGAGGGCTCACATGGACAATATTAATGAGTTAGGAGCAGAGTGTGGCCCAAGATGAGGGCTTGTAAAAATTCCTCTTTCTGCTGCTTTAAATGTGTGAAAGTGTGTGTGTGGCCCAGAGGGATTTTTAAATGACGGACCCACTTCTCGCTGGCGGAAGCCATGCCCTGAGCATATTCTCAGTTTAGAGAATCACTCTTTATCTGATTCCCACAACTAGATGCAAAGTTGATGCAAATTCCCTGTCCAAAAAGCTTTCTATTTAAATAGCTCCACCCAAACCAAGTCTTCAGATCGTCAGCTGGACCAAATTAGTTGTCAATCCAGAGGGTGGAGTTTCTGTCTGCAAACAATGAAGGCACCCTTTCTTTTCCTTTCTTTGATAGCAGTGCCGCTGTGTGAGGATCTTCCAGATAAACATTTAAAAAATCAAATGTTATAGATGGACAAATTGCATGGTAACCAAAGTCTTGTTGTTTTCTTTAGATGTCCACTGCAGTGTCCAACTTGTGGAATCTGGACCAAGAACTGTGAATCCTGGAGGGTCCCTGAGACTAACCTGCACTGTCACTGGGGATTCTGTCAAGAGTAATTTCTGGGAATGGGTCCGACAGGCTCCCGGAAAAGGGCTGGAATGGATGGGCCAGATTGACTGGGCTAACAGCAAATGGAGATTATACTACAGCCCATCACTCCAAGACCGAATCACTGTGACTGCCGATTCCTCCAGAAATACATATGACCTGGAACTGAGATCTGTGAGAGATGCAGACACGGCTATGTATTACTGTGCCCGTGCACCACAGTGAGAAAAACCAAAGGAGAAACTGTACAAAAAGTTGGAGGCATCTGTTACTGGGATGAAATGTAGGATCATCTCCTAAAAGTAATTCTGTTTCTCACAAGGGGGCAGCAGTGATTTAAGGACTAAGAAGCCATTGACCACAACTGAAATAAAGCCTTGTGTGATGTTTTGGGGTTACAGCTGTGAGGCTGACTATTGTTTCCTTAGCTGCCTCAACTTCACCGGCTGCATGAGAGTTTGATTCCAAAACCAATTTCAGTCAATATATTGAAGAATCACACAGTGCTAAAACAGACCATAAAACTTGTGATATTACCATGCAGAAATGACCCCCACTCCAAAATTTTGATGAGGTAAGGGATGGGCCTGCAGACCTTCCAGGTGCATTCTGAGGACCCATGGGGTCCACAGACCTCTAATTGTGAATCACTGCATTAAGCAATTGAAGAAGAAGAAGAGTTTGGATTTGATATCCCGCTTTATCACTACCTGAAAGAGTCTCAAAGCAGCTAACATTCTCTTTTCCCTTCCTCCCCCACAACAAACACTTTGTGAGGTGAGTGGGGCTGAGAGACTTCAAAGAAGTGTGACTAGCCCAAGGTCACCCAGCAGCTGCATGTGGAGGAGCGGAGATGCGAACCCGGTTCCCCAGATTGCGAGTCTATCATTCTTAACCACTACACCACACTGTTTCTCAATTAAGAACTGAGAGTTCATAAGGCAGAAATTGATCCAAGCACACATACACACATCTTTTTTTGAATCATCTGCAAAGAAGTTATGTATAAAGTTATGTATAAAGCGTCACACCACACCTTTTCTTCCATTTTAAACATTACTTTATAGCAGGCAGAACCAAGTATAGTGAGACCTCTGGTTACAAACTTAATTCGTTCCTCAGGTCAGTTCTTAACCTGAAACCGTTCTTAACCTGAGGTACCACTTTGGTTAAGGGGGCCTCCCGCTGCTGCCGTGCAATTTCTGTTCTCATCCTGGGGCAAAGTTATTAACCCGAGGTACTACTTCCAGGTCTGTAACCTGAAGTTTTGTAACCCAAGGAGTTTGTAACTCGAGGTACCACTGTACATTGAAACTTATTTCAGAATTTGAATAAAGAATGTATGCACAATTTATGAAATCACCATTCCAGATTGATAAAATAAGTGCAATAATCAAGGGCAGACCGTGGTCTTTCAAATTTCAGTGGTGCCTTGGGTAAGGCCAAAATTTGGTGGCCGCAACCTCTCACCTTCTGCTCTGCTCAATTCATTATATCACAGTTGTCACATCCTATGGTGCCCCCTAGGCTCGGCACCCATTGCGGCAGACCCAGTTGCACTGCCTGAAATACACCCCTGCAAAAATCAGTATGATCGAAAACAGAACCAAAGTTGTCAAAAGACTAATTGTCTTTTTCTTCTGAGCTGTATGTAAATGGAGGGACAGATTCCTGTTTAAAGGAGCCAAGCCCTCTTTTGCCCCAACTCCATCCACATCTACACCCCCTGTGTGACTGAGATCACTTACAAGGCCACCTTTCCCAAAACAACTAGGGGAATGATGTGTTTACTTCAATTAGTTTGCTTTTTGGCAATATTCAGAGGTTATTGTTGTGTTGTTACATCCAGTTCAGCGCATAATTTCTTATACTGATCCCAGTATAAGGGATGACACCTTAGATTATAAATATAATTCATCCTAGGCTTAAAATCAAAGCTCCACCTCTACTCCATTCCAGCTTCCACTAGCCCCAGACTGTTTGCTGGAAACCAACAGAAAGCACACATCCATTCTCTACAGCCTCCTGTCACTTGTGTGCTCCAGCTCCCTGTTGGCTTCTGTAGCATTTTGGGATAGAAAAACCCTCCCTCCCTCTTTGGCAAGCAGATGGAAGTGTGGATGGAAGTACCAGGGTTAACCACATCCCACCTCCTTCCTGCTCACAGTGCTCTGGAGGGGTATGTGGGTGGGACGATGCCAGAGGAGGGAGAGGTAAAACTCCAGGCAAAAAGGGTCCCTGTTCCTTTAAAGCAGCGATAGTGATGTAGAATAGAATGTCCCTATTTTCATCTGAGCAATGTTGGAGGTAATGGAAAGGTCTGGAGAGGTTTTGTGGTTTGTACAGCTTGGAACCCCAATAAGGATCACCTCTCTTCCTAAAGCTGAGCCCTGGTTTCTGTGTTCATCATCTGAGGCCCTTAATAGTTTGCCTCTTTCATGTGAGGTCTAGAAGGTGGCAAAACAAGAATGGGTCTTTTCTGCAGTGGCTCCCCATTTGTTGGAATGCCCCCCCCCCCGCCGGCACTTCCTTATATATATTTAAGGCACCAGGCAAAAATGTTCCCCTTCAACCAGGTCCTTGAATCATTAATATTCTACAGCCTTTGAAACGTGTTTACTCTTTTGTTGCTTCTGTTTTGAGTATTTGTTTGTGCTTTTATCTTGTGCTTTTATCTTCTGAACAATGCTGAGATCTTTTGATGAAGGGCAGTATATAAATTTTATAGATGATAGATGATAGATAGATAGATAGATAGATAGATAGATAGATAGATAGATGATATAGATGATAGGTGTTGATCTGATGGGGGACATTGAGAAGCTGTATCAGGATTCCCTAGAAAACAGCAGGTGTGGTGGGTTCCAGGGACCAACTCCTTTTTTGTTTGAGTTGAGGGCCTTCTTGGTAGTGGCGCCTGCCCTGTGGAATGCTTTCACATCAGATGTCAAGGATATAAACAACTATCTGATTTTTAGAAGACATATGAAGGCAGCCCTGTTTAGGGAAGTTTTTAATGTTTGAAGTTTTATTCTGTTTTTAATGTTCTGTTGAAAGCCACCCAGAGTGGCTGCGGAAACCCAGCCAGATGGGTGGGGTAGAAATAATAAATCTATTATTATTATTATTATTATTATTATTATTATTATTATTATTATTTACTATTGTAACAAGACTCCCACCCTGGACCTAAGGTAAGCTCTGCCACGGCCTGCTTCCAAGTCCATATCTTCCAACATTTCTCCAATAAAAATAGGGACATCCCTACCATACCTTCCAACATTTCTCTGATGAAAATAGGGATGTCCTAAGGTAAAGTGGGACATTCCAGGATCAAATAAGGAATTGGGATGGCTTTTGTAAATCTGGGACTATGCCTGGAAAATAGGATCTGCAATTCATGTGTTTGGTATAAGGCTAAACAGATCTGCTCCGTCAAAGACCTGTGTTGCTCTTTTATCCTGAGCTGCATGTAAATGCAGAGGCAGCTTCCTCTTTAAAGCAGCAGCACACTCTCTGCCCAGCCTACAGCCAGAGGTAGAACTGCTGAACCACTTTCCAGTCAGTTCCTCTCAGAGCAAAATCAGGAGACAAACATGACACTTTGGCTTCAATTTGTTTTTGTTTCAGCAATTTGGGGAGGTAATTTTATTCCCGCTTTAAACAAAGATAACTAGTATAATCCAGGACTTCATATTTAGCAGATCCTTTAAATATGGCTTTCCTCATTTTCTAGGTGTCCAATCAGCAGTCCAGCTGGTAGAGTCTGGAGGGGATGTCAAAAGACCTGGAGAGTCCCTCCGTCTCTCCTGTCGAGCTTCTGGCTTCGACTTCAGCAGCTACTGGATGGCCTGGGTGCGACAGGCTCCTGGAAAAGGACTGGAATGGGTGGCATGGATACGCTATGATAGTAGAGAAATATACTATGACAACTCTGTGAAAGGGCGCTTCACCGTCTCCAGAGACAACCCTTCAAACATGCTGTATCTACAAATGAACACCTTGAAATCAGAGGACACTGCTGTTTATTACTGTGCAAGAGACACAGTGAAAGGAAGTGAATCTGAAGCTAGACAAAAACCTTCCTATGCCAGCTGTCTGGACTGGTTCAGCTGCAACCACAAAGAACTAAATGAAGACGTTTGGAGAAGGAAGATAAATTCAAGATAAATTGCCTTCATTTTGTTGACACAAATGAGGCATCATGCCTAGTCTCCAAATTGAATGCTCAAAGAACGCCTAGGCTGCATTCAGACACCACTTTATTCTATTTCCCCAACAATTAATTTCTGACTTAGTTCCACTTCTTATGTGACCTTTTATACAATGTAAAATTCATTTCTGGTAATCTAGCAGAATCTTGTTGAAGCTTAGTACTCATTGCTATATTCATTGCTTCCATGAAATATGTGTTTGCATGTTTGCAACTTTCTTATCTCAGAAGATTTTGTTAGATTTGAGTTATAATTTCTCTACTGTTTTAATGGCTTACATAATGTGATGAAATTTAGGGAAGAATTCTGAAATACCATGTTAGCGAGTTTTGGTGAGGATAGAGATGGACTGTTTATGTCCGCTTTGCCACACAGTTTCCCTGGCTCCAACTTTGCAATCCCACCTTTCTGCTCTGTGTGTATAGTCATACCTCATGTTAGGTTTGCTTCATGATACGTTTTTTTCAGCTTGCGTCCTGCAGTGACCCGGAAGTACTGGAAAGGGTTACTTCTGGGTTTCGCTGCTCGCACATGCGCAGACACGCAAAATGATGTCAAGCACATGCGCAGAATTGGTGAATCGCGGCTCACGCGTGCGTAGATGTGCCACTGCAGGTTGCGTTCATTTAAGGTTGCATTCATTTAACCTGCACTGTCAGTGGGGATTCTGTCAAGAATAAGTACTGGGACTGAGTCCGACAGGCTCCTGGAAAAGGACTGGAATGGATGGGCCAGATAGATTGGGATAGCAAATGGAGATTATTCCACAGCCCATCTCTCCAAGGCCGAATCACCCTGAGTGCCGATTCCTCCAGAAATACATATGACCTGGAGCTGAGATCTGTGACAGGTGCAGACACGGCTATATATTACTGCGCTTCTGAAGCACGGTTAGAGAAACCAAAGGCTAGAGGCATCTCTTACTGGGTGAAGTATAGGAGCATCTCCTAAAATTCTTTCCATTTCTCACATGGGGGCAGCAGTGATTTAAAGACTAAGAAGTCATCAACCACAACTGAAATAAAGTCTAAAATGAAGCCTAGTGTGATGTTTTGTGGTTACAGCTGTGAGGCTATTGTTTCCTCAGCTGCCTCAACTGCATAAGAGTTTGATTCCCCGAGAGACATTCTCACAACTTTCTATTTAGAACTAAAAAAAAATTGCCATTACCACCCCAACCATCATTTCCCAATGTATACACTAGGCAGAATTTCTATTTTATTACATACTTTCCAGCTCTGTAGCTCATACTCCAAGTATGAGTAGAAAGCAGAAAGGGGGTTACAAATCTCTGTAAACATTGTACTGTAATATATGTCTTCTTGTTGGCCTTAGATGTCCATTGCAATGTCCAGCTTGCGGAATCTGGACCAGAGACTGTGAATCCTGGAGTGACTCTGAGACTAATCTGCACTATCACTTGAGATTTTGTCAGTAATGTTGACTGGGAATGGATCCGACAGGCTCCTAGAAAAGGACAGAAATGGATAAGCCTGATATACATCGGAGTGGCAACTCATGGCATGTTCAAGTAGAAGGGGATGGGGATTGGGGATGCATCAAGCCACCATCAGCTGGGCATACAGCCCTGGCAGCCAGTGAAGATGCATGCCCACTGTGGCTGCTGCTGCTTTCCTGCTGACTGAGAAAAGCAGCTCTGCCTCAGTGCCAGGAGAAAGTAGTGCCACAGTGCCTTAAAGTGAGAGCGATCAGCTTCCCTTTCCAGCCTATAAATCTGGGTAACAATCTCCCAAGTTTTATCTCTTCTCTATGTACAAGAAACAATTGCCAAAAGGCACAGTGAGAGGATGTGAATCTGAAATCTGGGAAAAAACCTGTTTGCCTTCTCACCAGAAATAAGACTTGAGTCAAACTATTATAAGAGCAAACAGGGGAGATTCACTAAAATATATAAAATAATTGGATCTGCAATTCAAACAACCTGAACCAATTAACCAAGGCACAATGCACATGCAGGTGAGTTTTAATCAATGGGGTTATATAAGCCTCCCCGTTTTCTGACCAATTTTACAGCCACATACTGTGACCATATAGGAAGGCTAGCACACAGCGAGAGGTGGAGGCAACTTGTCTCTGCCTAAGCCTGTTCCCACACACCTAGTAAAGTTCACACTGCTAATTTCGGGGGGATTAAGTTGTGACCCTTCCTTCCTTCATCATTTGTGTTGTATTGAGAGTATTATTATTATTGGGCACATGGAATCCTTAGGATGAATGAAAGCTCACTCTTGTATTCAAATAACAATCACCCAAAACAAAAATGTGGTTCAAAAGCTTTACTTACAGCACTTAACTTTAAAACAAATTTAAAAATAAACACGTGTTAAATAAATAAATAAAGTTGATCTGATGGGGAACGTATCAGGATTCCCTTGAAGACAGCAGGTGTGGCCGGTGCCAGGGACCAACTCCTTTTTGAGTCCTAAGGAAAAGTGTGACATTCTGGGATCAAATCAGGAACCAGGAGGGCTTTTGTGAATTCTTGACTGTAAAACAGAACACTTGAAGGGTCAGCAAGTCATGTGTTTTGTATAAGGCTAAACAGATCTGCTCCATCAAAGACCAGTGTTGCTCTTTTATTCTGTGCTGCATGTAAATGCAGAGGCAGCTTCCTGTTTAAAGCAGCAGCACACTCTCTGCCCAGCCTACAGCCAGAGGTAGAACTGCCGAACCACTTTCCAGTCAGTTGCTCTCAGAGCAAAATTGGGAGACAAACATGACACATTGGCTTCAATTTGTTTTTGTTTCAGCAGTTTTGGGAGGTAATTTTATTCCTTCTTTGAACAAAGATGACTAGTATAATCCAGGGCTTAATATGTAGCAGATCCTTTAAATATGGCTTTCCTCCTTTTCTAGGTGTCCAATCAGCAGTCCAGCTGGTAGAGTCTGGAGGGGATGTCAAAAGACCTGGAGAGTCCCTCCGCCTCTCTTGTCGAGCTTCTGGCTTCGACTTCAGCAGCTATCCCATGGCCTGGGTGCGACAGGCTCCTGGAAAGGGACTAGAATGGGTTTCATGGATAAGCAGTGGGGGAGGCTCACAATATTATGCAGACTCAGTGAAAGGGCGCTTCACCATCTCCAGAGACAACCCTTCAAACATGCTGTATCTACAAATGAACAGCTTGAAATCAGAGGACACTGCTGTTTATTACTGTGCAAGAAGCACAGTGAAAGGAAGTGAATCTGATGCCAGACAAAAACCTTCCTTCGCCAGCTGTCTGGACTAGTTAAGCTGCAACCACAAAAAACCAAATGAAAAATCTGAAGAAAGAAGATAAACTGAAGATAAATTGTCTTGATTTTGTTGACACAAATGAGGCACCATGCCTATTGTTCAAAATGGAATGTTCAGAAAAAGCCTAGCCTGCATTCAGACACCACTTTATTCTATTTCCCCAGCAATTCATTTCCTAACTTAGATCCACTTCTTATGTGATCTTTTATGCAGTGCAAAATTCAATTCTGGTAATCTAGCAGAATCTTGTTGATGTTCAGTACTCGTTCCTATATTTATTGTTTCCATGATATGTGTGTTTGCATGATTGCAGCTCCTTTAGCTCAGAATATTGTGGCAGATTTCAGGTATAATTTCCCCATTGTTTTAATGGCTTACATGATGTGATGAAATTTGAGGAAGAATTTTCAAATACCATGTTAGCCTGTTTTGGTGGGGATAGAGATGGACTGTTTAAATCCACTTTACCACACAGTTTCCCTGGCTCCAACTTTGCAATCCCACCTTTCTGCTCTGTGTGTATAGTCATACCTCATGTTAGGTTTGCTTCATGATACGTTTTTTTCAGGTTGCGTCCTGCAGCGACCCGGAAGTACTGGAAAGGGTTACTTCTGGGTTTCGCTGCTCGCACATGCGCAGACAAGCAAAATGATGTCAAGCACATGCGCAGAATTGGTGAATCGCGGCTCACGCGTGCGTAGATGTGCCACTGCAGGTTGCGTTCATTTAAGGTTGCATTCATTTAACCTGCACTGTCAGTGGGGATTCTGTCAAGAATAAGTACTGGGACTGAGTCCGACAGGCTCCTGGAAAAGGACTGGAATGGATGGGCCAGATAGATTGGGATAGCAAATGGAGATTATTCCACAGCCCATCTCTCCAAGGCCGAATCACCCTGAGTGCCAATTCCTCCAGAAATACATATGACCTGGAGCTGAGATCTGTGACAGGTGCAGACACGGCTATATATTACTGCGCGTCTGAAGCACGGTTAGAGAAACCAAAGGCTAGAGGCATCTCTTACTGGGTGAAATGTAGGAGCATCTCCTAAAATTATTTCCATTTCTCACATGGGGGCACCAGTGATTTAAAGACTAAGAAGTCATCGACCACAACTGAAATAAAGTCTAAAATGAAGCCTAGTGTGATGTTTTGTGGTTACAGCTGTGAGGCTATTGTTTCCTCAGCTGCCTCAACTGCATAAGAGTTTGATTCCCCGAGAGACATTCTCACAACTTTCTATTTAGAACTAAAAAAAATTGCCATTACCACCCCAACCATCATTTCCCAATGTATACACTAGGCAGAATTTCTATTTTATTACATACTTTCCAGCTCTGTAGCTCATACTCCAAGTATGAGTAGAAAGCAGAAAGGGGGTTACAAATCTCTGTAAACATTGTACTGTAATATATGTCTTGTTGGCCTTAGATGTCCATGGCAATGTCCAGCTTATGGAATCTGGACCAGAGACTGTGAATCCTGGAGTGACTCTGAGACTAATCTGCACTATCACTTGAGATTTTGTCAGTAATGTTGACTGGGAATGGATCCGACAGGCTCCTAGAAAAGGACAGAAATGGATAAGCCTGATATACATCGGAGTGGCAACTCATGGCATGTTCAAGTAGAAGGGGATGGGGATTGGGGATGCATCAAGCCACCATCAGCTGGGCATACAGCCCTGGCAGCCAGTGAAGATACATGCCCACTGTGACTGCTGCTGCTTTCCTGCTGACTGAGAAAAGCAGCTCTGCCTCAGTGCCAGGAGAAAGTAGTGCCACAGTGCCTTGAAGTGAGAGCGATCAGCTGCCCAGTTCTCTATCAGCGTGAGGGGAAAGCAACACCTAGAATCATAGAATCATAGAGTTGGAAGAGACCACAAGGGCCATCGAGTCCAACCCCCTGCCAAGCAGGAAACACCATCAGAGCATTCCTGACATATGGTTGTCAAGCCTCTGCTTAAAGACCTCCAAAGAAGGAGACTCCACCACACTCCTTGGCAGCAAATTCCACTGTCGAACAGCTCTTACTGTCAGGAAGTTCTTCCTAATGTTTAGGTGGAATCTTCTTTCTTGTAGTTTGGATCCATTGCTCCGTGTCCGCTTCTCTGGAGCAGCAGAAAACAACCTTCTTCTGCTTCTGCTTCTTGCTTCCTGTATAGGTATGTGAAAATAATAGGACAAAATGGGCGTGGGGAGGAGAAAGGCCATGCATCTATCTCCACCTCAGATCAAAGAAAAAGAAGCCTTGACAGCACTCAGTTCCACATGCTGTGGTACAGGTTTATTGAAAGCCCGGTTCCCAAGCAGAGCAAGTGATTAAGGCAGGAGGGTCCTGTCCAGGAAACAAGGCCACACAAGAACAAGGAAGTTCTGCCCTTAGCAACTCAAGTCCTAGAGGGTATGTGCAAAATGCTTTGAGGGTTCAGTTATGGAGAGAAATTAAAAAATGACACTTTGGTTTTTCTAGGGTTAGGAAAAGCATGCCCATTAGTAACATTTTATATTGCATAAGTATATAATAGTTTTTTGCTAATCAAGTAAATAAAATACAAAGGTATCTATACTAAGAAGGGGCGCACCCCTGGTCTTTTCTTTCTGGCAGCATATCAGCACTGAAAGCTTTTGGAAAAGTTTGGAGAGTGGGGCACTGAACTATCCTTCTTTAAACTATTCTTGATGCTTGCCCATCTGAAAGAGGGTCAACAAACAGGATCTGCGACTTCTGATCTATATTTTATTGAACATTTAAGATACATCTGCCTTCCTCCCTCCTGCTTTAAACTCATACTTACAGGCCCATTCCAGCCTATAAATCTGGGTAACAATCTCCCAAGTTTTATCTATTCTCTATGTACAAGAAACAATTGCCAAAAGGCACAGTGAGAGGATGTGAATCTGAAATCCGGGAAAAAACCTGTTTGCCTTCTCACCAGAAATAAGTCTTGAGTCAAACTATTATAAGAGCAAACAGGGGAGATTCACTAAAATATATAAAATAATTGGATCTGCAATTCAAACAACCTGAACCAATTAACCAAGTCACAATGCACATGCAGGTGAGTTTTAATCAATGGGGTTATATAAGCCCCCCCCCCTTTTCTGACCAATTTTACAGCCACATACTGTGATCATATAGCAAGGCTAGCACACTGCGAGAGGTGGAGCCAACTTGTCTCTGCCTAAGCCTGTTCCCACACACCTAGTAAAGTTCACACTGCTAATTTCGGGGGGATTAAGTTGTGACCCTTCCTTCCTTCATCATTTGTGTTGTATTGAGAGTATTATTATTATTGGGCACATGGAATCCTTAGGATGAATGAAAGCTCACTCTTGTTTTCAAATAACAATCACCCAAAACAAAAATGTGGTTCAAAAGCTTTACTTTAGCACTTAACTTTAAAACAAATTTAAAAATAAACACGTGTTAAATAAATAAATAAAGTTGATCTGATGGGGGACGTATCAGGATTCCCTTGAAGACAGCAGGTGTGGCCGGTGCCAGGGACCAACTCCTTTTTGAGTCCTAAGGAAAAGTGCGACATTCTGGGATCAAATCAGGAACCAGGAGGGCTTTTGTGAATTCTTGACTGTAAAACAGAACACTTGAAGGGTCAGCAAGTCATGTGTTTTGTATAAGGCTAAACAGATCTGCTCCATCAAAGACCAGTGTTGCTCTTTTATCCTGAGCTGCATGTAAATGCAGAGGCAGCTTCCTCTTTAAAGCAGTAGCACACTCTCTGCCCAGCCTACAGCCAGAGGTAGAACTGCCGAACCACTTTCCAGTCAGTTCCTCTCAGAGCAAAATTGGGAGACAAAAATGACACATTGGCTTCAATTTGTTTTTGTTTCAGCAGTTTTGGGAGGTAATTTTATTCCTTCTTTGAACAAAGATGACTAGTATAATCCAGGGCTTCATATGTAGCAGATCCTTTAAATATGGCTTTCCCCCCTTTCTAGGTGTCCAATCAGCAGTCCAGCTGGTAGAATCTGGAGGGGATGTCAAAAGGCCTGGAGAGTCCCTCCGCCTCTCCTGTCAAGCTTCTGGATTCACCTTCAGCAGCTATGGCATGAACTGGGTGCGACAGGCTCCTGGAAAGGGACTGGAATGGGTTGCAAGAATCTGGTCTGATGGTAGCCAACAATATTATGCAGACTCAGTGAAAGGGCGCTTCACCATCTCCAGAGACAACCCTTCAAACATGCTGTATCTACAAATGAACAGCTTGAAATCAGAGGACACTGCTGTTTATTACTGTGCAAGAAGCACAGTGAAAGGAAGTGAATCTGAAGCTAGACAAAAACCTTCCTTCGCCAGCTGTCTGGACTGGTTAAGCTGCAACCACAGAAAACTAAATGAAAAATCTGACACAAATGAAACTAAATGAAAAATTTGACACAAATGAGGCACCATGCCTATTGTTCAAAATGGAATGTTCAGAGAAAGCCTAGGCTGCATTCAGACACCACTTTATTCTATTTCCCCAGCAATTCATTTCCTAATAAGATCTACTTCTTATGTGATCTTTTATGCAGTGCAAAATTCAATTCTGGTAATCTAGCAGAATCTTGTTGATGTTCAGTACTCATTGCTATATTTCTTGTTTCCATGATATGTGTGTTTGCATGATTGCAGCTCCTTTAGCTCAGAATATTGTGGCAGATTTAAGGTATAATTTCCCCATTGTTTTAATGGCTTACATGATGTGATGAAATTTGGGGATGAATTTTCAAATACCATGTTAGCCTGTTTTGGTGGGGATAGATATGGACTGTTTAAGTCCACTTGGCCCCACAGTTTCCCTGTCTCCAACTTTGCAATCCCACCTTTCTGCTCTGTGTGTATATGAAGCAGTGTAGGACTTAATGTTCCTGGCAGACAATCAGTGCAATTGACACAGTGGGAGAGTTGAGTTATATTGGTTGGAAATAAAAGCAAGCGGTTTTATGACCTGATGACTGAGCACACAGACTTGAGCATAGCTGGAATATAGCAGGGTCACTTTCATTATTCCTTTTATACTAATATCAAATTTCTATACCACCCCTCATCTGAAAATCACAGTATGGCTCACATTGGCAGTGTGTGGCCCCAGCCAACATGAAGGCTTGTAAAAATTCCTCTTCCTGCTGCTTTCTGGTTGTGGGAAAGCAAGGGACCCATAAAAGGGTGTGTGTGACCAAGAGGACTTCTTTAAATGATGGACCCACTTCCCACTGGTGGACGCAGAGCTTTGAGCATATCCTCAGTTTGGATCACCTCTCTTTATCTGATTCCCACCACTAGATGCAAAGTTTATGCAAATTCCTGTCCAAAAAGCTTTCTATTTAAATAGCTCCACCCACACCAAGTCTTCAGATGCTCAGCTGGACCAAATTCAGCTGTCAATCCAGAGGGAGGAGTTTCTCTCTGCAAACAATGAAGGCCCCCTTTCTTTTCCTTTCTTTGTTAGCTGTGCCGCTCTGTGAGTATCTTCCAGAGAAACATTTAAAAAATCAAATGTTACAGATGGACAAATTACATGGTAACCAAAGTCTTGTTGTTTTCTTTAGATGTCCACTGCAGTGTCCAGCTTGTGGAATCTGGACCAAGGGTTGTGAATCCAGGAGGGTCCCTGAGACTAACCTGCACTGTCACTGGGGATTCTGTCAAGAATAATTACTGGGAATGGGCCCGACAGGCTCCCGGAAAAGGACTGGAATGGATGGGCCAGATATACTGGGTTATCCTCAAATGGAGCTTATACTACCACCCATCACTCCAAGACCAAATCACTGTGACTGCCGATTCCTCCAGAAATACATATGACCTGGAACTGATATCTGTGACAGATGCAGACACGGCTATATATTATTGTGCCCGCAAGACACACAGTGACATAAACCAAAGGAGAAACTGTATAAAAGGGCAGAAGCATCTGTTACTGGGGTGAAGTGTAGGAGCATCTCCTAAGATTCTTTCTGTTTCTCACAAGGGGGCAGCAGTGATTTAAGGACTAAGAAGCTATTGAACACAACTGAAATAAAGCCTTGTGAGATGTTTTGTGGTTACAGCTGCATGACTGACTACTGTTTTCTCAGCTGCCTCAACTTCACTGGCTGCATGAGAGTTTGATTCCAAAACCGAATCGCACAGTACTAAAACAGACTATTAAACTTGTGATATTACCATACAAAAATCCCCCCCCCCCAAAAAAAAGTTGAGGGGTAGGCAAGGGATGGGCCTGCGGACCTTCTAGGTATATTCTGAGGACCCACAGGTGTCCGCAGAACTCTAATTGTGAACCACCGCATCAAGCAATAGAGAGTTCATATGACAGAAATCGGTCCAAGCACATATACACAAACATTTTTTTATTAGTCATCTGCATAGAATTTATGCATAAAGAGTCACACCACAGCTTTTCTTACTTTATAGCAGACTGACCCAAGTACACTGAAACCTATTTCAGAATATGGATAAAGAATGCATGTACAATTTATGAAATTGCCATACCCAGATGATAAAATAAGTGCAAAAATCAGAGGCAGACTGTGTTCTTTCAAATTTCAGTGGTGCCCTGGGTAAGTCCAAAATTTGGTGGCCTCAACCTCTCACCTTCCCTTCTGCTCAATTCACTATAGATAGATAGAGGATAGATAGATAGACAGATAAAGTATATTTGCATTAGCCAACAGCCATAGCAACATAAAACAAGCAATATATACAATTAAAAAAGACAACAATGGGTAAAAAGTACAATCAAATGACCAAGATTATTGTTCAGATAAAAGCTAAAGGGACCCCTGACCATTAGGTCCAGTCGTGACCGACTCTGGGGTTTCAGCGCTCATCTCCCTTTATTGGCTGAGGGAGCCAGTGTTTGTCCGCAGACAGCTTCCGGATCATCATAATAATAATAATAAATTTTATTTATATCCCGCCCTCCCCAGCCGAAGCCGGGCTCAGGGCGGCTAACAACAATAAAACAGTACAAAAGTACAGCACAAACAACACTCTAAAATCATTCATTATAAAATTAATTAATTCAAGCCACTGGCAACCATTGGGCCAGAGCTCCCCGAAGATTGCCGAGGGAGGGAGTCAGGCTGTGCCCTGGCCAAAGGCCTGGTGGAACAGCTCTGTCTTGCAGGCCCTGTGGAAAGATGTCAAGTCCCGCAGGGCCCTGGTCTCTTGTGACAGAGTGTTCCACCAGATCGGAGCCACGGCCGAAAAGCCCTGGCTCTAGTTGAGGCCAGCCTAACTTCTCTGTGGCCTGGGACCTTCAAGATGTTTTTATTTGAAGACCGTAAGTTTCTCTGTGGGGCATACCAGGAGAGGAGGTCCCGTAGGTACGAGGGTCCTAGGCCGTGTAGGGCTTTAAAGGTTAAAACCAGCACCTTTAACCTGATCCTGTACTCCACCGGGAGCCAGTGCAGCTGGTATAGCACCGGGTGAATGTGATCTCGCAGCGAAGACCCCGTAAGGAGTCTTGCTGCAGCATTCTGCACCCGCTGGAGTTTCTGGGCCAGTCTCAAGGGCAGCCCCACGTAGAGCGAGTTACAATAATCCAGTCTGGAGGTGATCGTCGTGTGGATCACAGCTGCAATCTGCGCCTCCATGGAAAGTGAGGTGTCGAAGATTACACCCAAACACTTAACGGACGGTGCTGGCACTAATTGCACCCCCACAAGAGATGGGAGTTGCCCCCCCAATCCCATATCATGTGGCCAGCATAACTAAGCCGCTTCTGGCGAACCAGAGCAGCGCACGGAAATGCCGTTTACCTTCCCGCTGGAGCGGTCCCTATTTATCTACTTGCACTTTGATGTGCTTTCGAACTGCTAGGTTGGCAGGAGCTGGGACCGAGCAACAGGAGCTCACCGCATCGTGGGGATTCGAACCACCAACCTTCTGATCGGCAAATCCTAGGCTCTGTGGTTTAACCTACAGCGCCACCCGTGTCCCTATCGTTCAGATAGTTGCCCTTAATATCATTGCACCCTTGATAAACCTAGCAACCTTTGCTGTTGTCTGATCATTTTGATCTGATAAAAGAAGGAACAATGTGGCTGCAGATGGGCGGCCTGGGATGGTAAGTAAGAGTAGGGTGATGATCTCATTCCCCAGATCTTTATAAAGGGGACAGGACAGGAGAACATGAGCCACTGTTTCCAGATTGCCATCTCCACAGGGGCAGAGTCGTTTCTCAGGTGGAATCTTTTGGTATCTGCCCTCAAGTACGGCAGAGGGCATCACATCCTATCTGGCCAGTGTGAAGGCACGTCTGTATTTTGGGATGGTTAATTTATACAAATATGGTTCCATGGAATCAAACTGAGAAGGGGGGAAACAAGGCATACCAAGGACAGAGTTTCTTTATAATTGCCAGATTGTTCTGTTGCTCTAAGTCCTTCAGACGCTGTCCAATTAGCCATTTTGCTTTAATAAAGCCCATCGTGAGAAGCTGATGTGGGTGGAGTCCGCAGGAGAGGAATTTTTGGTGCACAATTTTAGACCACACTCTTTTATGGGGGTCTTGTGACACTAAGGGCAGTAGACCGGGTGGATTTAGATTTAGACAGAGCCAATAATTAAGAGTTCTTTGCCAGGACCAAGCTTCTACAGAGGGAAGACTTGCCTCTAGTCGTAATGCTGCAGTTGGGACACAAGGTGGTACAGAAAAAATCTGCCTTAAAATTTGGATTGGACAGTTTCAAGAATGCTACAATGCCCCATTTGTGGATTGCCCCCCCCCCCCCAGCACTTCATTACAGTATATATATTTAAGGCACCAGGTGAAAATGTTCCCCTTTAACCAGGTCCTTGACTCATTCATATTCTACAGCCTTTTAAATGGGTTTACTATTTTGTTGCTTCTGTTTTGAGTATTTGTTTGTGTTTTATCTTGTGTTTTTATCTTATGAACAACCCTGAGATCTTTTGATGAAGGGCAGTATATAAATTTTATAGACAGATAGATAGATGGTACGTGTTGATCTGATGGGGGACATTGAGAAGCTGTATCAGGATTCCCTTGAATACAGCAGGTGTGGTGGGTTCCAGGGACCAGCTCCTTTTTTGTTTGAGTTGAGGGCCTTCTTGTAGTGGCGCCTGCCCTGTGGAATGCTTTCGCATCAGATGTCAAGGAAATAAACAACTATCTGACTTTTAGAAGACATCTGAAGGCAGCCCTGTTTAGGGAAGTTTTTAATGTTTGAACTTTTATTCTGTTTTTAATGTTCTGTTGAAAGCCACCCAAACCGAGCCAGATGGGTGGGGGAGAAACAATAAATTTCTATTATTATTATTATTATTTATTACTATTGTAACAAGACTCCCACCCTGGGCCTCAGATAATCTCTGCCCATGCCTGCTTCCAAGTCCAACCTTCCAACATTTCTTCAATAAAAATAGGGACATCCAAAATAAAATAAAATAGGGACATCCCTACCATACCTTCCAACATTTCTCTGATGAAAATAGGGATGTCCTAAGGAAAAGTGGGACATTCCGCAATCAAATAAGGAATTGGGATGGCTTTTGTAAAACTGGGACTGCCCCTGGAAAATAGGGTCTGCAGTTCATGTGTTTAGTATAAGCCTAAACAGATCTGGTCAGTCAAAGCCCTGTGTTGCTCTTTTATTCTGTGCTGCATGTAAATGCAGAGGCAGCTTCCTCTTTAAAGCAGCAGCACACTCTCTGCCCAGCCTACAGCCAGAGGTAGAAATGCTGAACCACTTTCCAGTCAGTTGCTCTCAGAGCAAAAGAGTGAAACAAACATGACACTTTGGCTTCAATTTGTTTTTGTTTCAGCAGTTTTGGGAGGTAATTTTATTCCTTCTTTGAACAAAGATGACTAGTATAATTCAGGGCTTCATATGTAGCAGATCCTTTAAATATGGCTTTCCTCCTTTTCTAGGTGTCCAATCAGCAATCCAGCTGGTAGAATCTGGAGGGGATGTCAAAAGGCCTGGAGAGTCCCTCCGCCTCTCCTGTCAAGCTTCTGGATTCACCTTCAGCAGCTATGACATGAACTGGGTGCGACAGGCTCCTGGAAAGGGACTGGAATGGATTGCAGTAATCTGGTCTGATGGTAGCCAACAATATTATGCAGACTCAGTGAAAGGGCGCTTCACCATCTCCAGAGACAACCCTTCAAACATGCTGTATCTACAAATGAACAGCTTGAAATCAGAGGACACTGCTGTTTATTACTGTGCAAGAGGCACAGTAAAAGGAAGTGAATCTGAAGCCTTTCTTTGCCAGCTGTCTGGACTGGTTAAGCTGCAACCACAAAAAAGTAAATGAAAAATCTGAAGAAAAAAGATAAACTGAAGATAAATTGTCTTGATTTTGTTGACACAAATGAGGCACCATATCTAGTGTTCAAAATGGAATGTTCAGAAAAAGCCTAGCCTGCATTCAGACACCACTTTATTCTATTTCCCCAGCAATTCATTTCCTACTAAGATCTACTTCTTATGTGATCTTTTATGCAGTGCAAAATTCAATTCTGATAATCTAGCAGAATCTTGTTGATGTTTAGTACTCGTTCCTATATTTATTGCTTCCATGATATGTGTGTTTGCATGATTGCAACTCTGTTAGCTCAGAAGATTGTGGCAGTTTTAAGCTATAATTTCCCCATTGTTTTAATGGCTGACATGATGTGATGAAATTTGAGGAAGAATTTTCAAATACCATGTTAGCCAGTTTTGGTGGGGATAGATATGGACTGTTTAAGTCCACTTGGCCCCACAGTTTCCCTGTCTTCAACTTTGTAATCCCACCATTCTGCTCTGTGTGTATATGAAACAGTGTAGGACTTACTGTTCCTGGCAGACAATCAGTGTAATGGACACAAAGGGAAAGCCATGTTAACATGGTTGGAAATAAAAGCAGACCATTTCCTGACATGATGCCTGAACACACAGACGTGAGCATAGCTGGAATTAATCATGGTCATTTTCATATATATATATATATATATATATATATATATATATATATATATATTACAAGCCCTCAACTAGGCTGGAGATATAGCCTCAGCCAAGTTGAGGGCTTGTAAAAAAATTTCTTTCTGCTGCTTTCTGGTGCTGGGAAAACAAGAACCAATGAAAGTGTGTGTGTGGCCCAGAGGGCTTCTTTAAATGACAGACCCAATTCCCACTGGTGGTAGCATTGCTCTGAGCATATTCTCAGTTTAGATCACCTCTCTTTATCTGATCCCCACCACTAGATGCAAAGTTGATGCAAATTCCCCGTCCAAAAAGCTTTCTATTTAAATAGCTCCACCCACACCAAGTCTTCAGATGCCCAGCTGGACCAAATTAGTTGTCAATCCAGAGGGTGGAGTTTCTCTCTGCAAACAATGAAGGCACCCTTTATTTTCCTTTCCTTGTTAACAGTGCCGCTGTGTGAGTATCTTCCAGATAAACATTTTAAAAAATCAAATGTTACAGATGGACAAATTGCATGGTAACCAAAGTCTTGTTGTTTTCTTTAGATGTCCACTGCAGTGTCCAACTTGTGGAATCTGGACCAAGGATTGTGAATCCTGGAGGGTCCCTGAGACTAACCTGCACTGTCACTGGGGATTCTGTCAAGAATAGTTACTGGGAATGGGTCCGACAGGCTCCCGGAAAAGGACTGGAATGGATGGGCCAGATAGACTGGTATAGCAGCAACTGGAGATTATACTACAGCCCATCTCTCCAAGGCCGAATCACCCTGACTGCTGATGCCTCCAGAAATACATACGACCTGGAGCTGAGATCTGTGACAGCTGCAGACACGGCTATGTATTACTGTGCCCGAGAACCACAGTGAGAAAAACCAAAGGAGAAACTGTACAAAAAGTTGGAGGCATCTGTTACTGGGATGAAATGTAGGATCATCTCCTAAAATTAATTCTGTTTCTCACAAGGGGGCAGCAATGATTTAAAGCCTAAGAAACCATCAACCAAAACAGAAATAAAGTCTAAAATAAAGCCTAGTGTGATGTTTTGTGGTTACAGCTGTTAGGCTATTGTTTCCTCAGCTGCCTCAACTGCATGAGAGTTTGATTCCCTGGGTGACATTCTCACAACTTTCTATTTAGAACCAAGGAAACATTGCCATTACCACCCCAACCATCATTTCCCAATGTATACACTAGGCAGAATTTCTATTTTATTACATACTTCCCAGCTCTGTGGCACATACGCCAAAAGGAGCAGAAAGGGAGATACAAATCTCTGTAAACATTATACTGTAATAGATGTATTCTTGTTGGCCTTAGATGTCCACACCAATGTCCAGCTTGTGGAATCTGGACCAGAGACTGTGAATACTGGGGAGTCTCTGAGACTAATCTGCACTATCACTTGAGATTTTGTCAATAATGTTTTCTCAGAATGGATCTGACAGGTTCCTGGAAATGAACAGGAATGGATAGGCCTGATACATCTGAGTGGCAACTCATGGAAGGGGATTGGGGATGCATCAAGCCACCATCAACTGGGCATACAGCTGCAGCAGCCAGCGAAGATGCACGCCCACTGTGGCTGCTGCTGCTGACTGAGAAAAGCAGCTCTGCCTCAGTGCCAGGAGAAGGTAGTGCCATGGTGCCTTGAAGTGAGAGTGATCAGCTGTCCTGTTATCCATCAGAGTGAGGGAAAGGCAACACTCCACAACCAGCTGTCCTGTTTTCCTTCGGTGTGAGGCATAGGCGCCACGTGGCAGGGTGCTGGGTGCTGTAGCCCCCACAATATTCCCCATGAAGTGGTCGGGCACCCACAATTATTGCACCAGGGCCCCAAGGGGGGGTGTGTGCAAAGGGATCCCACTGGATGCAGCCCAGGGTGAGAACGCTGCCTGGGCAACATCCTTGGGCGGCACTGCCAAGCCGCAGAAAGGGGCAGTAACACCCCCTACTCCTTCTCTCCTCCTCCTGGGTCAGACTCCTCTCCCAGTACAGGAGAGGAGCACCACCGCAGCAGCGCTGCTGCCACCACTCTCAGCCAGAGCAGAAGCCACTGTAGGAGAGGGGCGGCAACATTGCTGCCATTGCCTGTGCCTCCTCCACTTCACCCCTGGGTCAGACCCAACCCCTCCTTGCAAAAATGTGCCCAGGCATGTGATGTCTGCATACACCATGGGCATGTTGACATCAGATGTGTGAGATCATCCTGTGATATTGGCAGTGCCTTGAAACTGACTACCCTGCTCTCCCTTGTGCAAGGAGCAATATATTGCTGCATATTGCTGGGTCAAAATCATCATCACAGTGTGATTTCAAAACCGATTTTGACCAATATATTGAAAATCGCACAGTGCTAAAATAGACCATAAAAATTATAATATTACCATTCAGTGCTTTTTTTCCAGGTGGAATACATGGGTACGCATGCCCCTAAACATTTTGTGAAGCTCAGTTTGGCCTCATTGAGGGGCAGTATTTCAATAGGAGTAGGAAAAGGAGAGTACCCCTAAACATTTTTTTAGAAAAAAACACTGTTACCATGAAAATATGTCCAAACAAAAGAGTTGGGGAGAGGCAAGGGATAGGGCTGCAGACCCTCTAGGTCAGTGATGGCCAAACGTGGTCCTCCAGCTGTTTTGGGACTACAATTCCCATCATCTCTGACCACTGGTCCTGTTAGCTAGGGATGATGGGAGATGTAGTCCCAAAACAGCTGGAGGGCCACGTTTGGCCATCACTGTTCTAGGTGCATTCCATGGACCCCCGGGGTCCCCAGACCCCTAATTGTGAAACAGGGCATGAAGGCATTGAGAGTTCATAAGACAGAGACTGATACAAGCACATATACACACATCTTTTTTATGAATCACATGCAAAGAAGTTACGTATAAAGAGTCACACCATAGATCTTCTTCTAAGTTAAGCAATACTTTATAGCAGACTGACCCAGGTACAATGAAATTTATTTGAGAATATGGATAAAGGATACATGCACAATTGATGAGATCACCATACCCTGATGATAAAATAAGTGCAAAAATCAGGGGAAGACTGTTGTCTTTCAAATTTCAGTGGGGCCCTGGGTAAGGCCAAAATTTGGCAGCCCTCACCTCTCACCTTCCATTATGCTCAATTCACTATATCATAGGTGGTACATCCTGTGGCACCCCTAGGCTGAGCTCCAAGTGCAGCAAACCCAGTTGTGCTGCCTGCAATCCACCTCTGCAAAAATCAGTATGACCAAAACCAGAACCAAAATTGTCAACGTGTTGCTCTTTTTATCCTGAGCTGTATGTAAATGGAGGGACAGCTTCCTGTTTAAAGGAGTCAAGCCCTCTTTTGCCCCAGCTCCATCCACACCAGCAACCCCTGTGTGATTTGGATCACTTTCAAGGCAACCTTTCCCAAAACAACCAGGGAACGATGCGTTTACTTCAATTAATTTGCTTTTTGGCAATATTCAGAAGTTATTGTTGTGTTGTTATTTCTTTGGCATGTAAGGAGACATGTACAGTTTGCTGATTGATGTTCAGGAAGCTTTATAATATTGCTTTCTTTACAGGCTTTCAATCAGCAGTTCGACTGCAGGAATTTGGAGGGGACATCAAAAGGCCTGGGGAGTCCCTCTGTCTTTCATGCCAAGGCTCTGGCTTTACCTTCAGCAACTACTTCATGCACTGGGTGAGACAGGCTACTGGGAAGGGACTGGAATGGGTTGCATGGATACACCAACATAGAGGAGAAGTATACTATGCCAGCTCTATGAAAGGGCGTTTCACCATCTCCAGGAACAACCCATCAAACATGTTGTATCTGCAAATGAACAACCTGAAACCCGAGGACACGGCTCTTTATTACTGTGCAGGAGACACAGTGAGAGGAAGTGAATCTGAAGGCTGGAAAGAAGTATTGAGTCAAACTGTTTTAAGAGTAAACGGATGAGATTCATTAAAATATATCAAAGAATAGTATCTGCAATTCCAACAACCTGAACCAATTAACCAAGGCACAATGCACAGGCAGGTGAGTTCAATCAATGGGGTTATACAAACCCTCCCATTTACTGACTAATCTGACAGCCACATGCTGTGATCACACAGCAAGGCTAGTCTTGTCTGTAGCACACAGCGAGAGGTGGAACCAAGCTATCTCGGCCTAAGTCTGTTCCCACAAACATAGTAAAGCCCACACTGCTAATTTCTGGTGTGTTAAGTTTTGCTCTTTCCGTCATTCATCATTTGTGTCTTATTGAGATTATTATTAATATTGGGCACATGGAAGCCTTTGGATGAATAAAAGCTCACTTTTGTATTGAAATAAAAACAAAAACCCCAAAACAAAAATGTGGTCCAAAAGCTTTATTTACAGCGTTTATTTTTAAAACAAATTTAAAATTAAATACGGGTTAAATAAATAAATGTTGATCTGATGGGGGACGTTGAGAAGCTGTATCAGGATTCCCTTAAAGACAGCAGGTGTGGCGGGTGCCAGGGACCAATTCCTTTTTTGTTTGAATCCTAAGGAAAAGCGGGACATTCTGGGATCAAATCAGGAAACAGGAGGGCTTTTGTAAATTCTTGACTGGAAAACAAAACAATTGAAGGATCAGCAAGTCATATGTTTTGTATAAGGCTAAACAGATCTGCTCCGTCAAAGACCTGTGTTACTCTTTTATCCTGAGCTGCATGTAAATGCAGCGGCACCTTCCTCTTTAAAGCAGCAGCACACTCTCTGCCCAGCCCACACCCAGAGGTAGAACTGCTGAACCACTTTCCAGTCAGTTCCTCTCAGAACAAAATTGGGAGATAAACATGACACTTTGGCTTCAGTTTCTTTTTGTTTCAGCAATTTTGGGAGGTAATTTTATTCCAGCTTTAAACAAAGATGACTAGTATAATATAGGGCTTCATATTTAGCAGATCCTTTAAATATGGCTTTCCTCCTTTTCTAGGTGTCCAATCAGCAGTCCAGCTGGTAGAGTCTGGAGGGGATGTCAAAAGACCTGGAGAGTCCCTCCGTCTCTCCTGTCGAGCTTCTGGATTCACCTTCAGCAGCGATCCCATGAACTGGGTGCAACAGGCTCCTGGGACGGGACTGGAATGGGTTGCAAGAATCTGGTCTGATGGTAGTCAGCAACATTATGTAGACTCAGTGAAAGGGCGCTTCACCATCTCCAGAAACAACCCTTCAAACATGCTGTATCTGCAAATGAACAACCTGAAATCCGTGGACACGGCTCTATATTACTGTGCAAGAGAGACACAGTGAAAGGAAGTGAATCTGAAGCCAGCCAAAAACCTTCCTTTGCCAGGTGTCTGGACTGGTTCAGCTGCAGCCACAAATAACTAAATGAAGAAGTTTGGAGAAGGAAGATAAATTCAAGATAAATTGTACTGATTTTGCTGACACAAATGAGGCATCATGCTTACTGTTCAAAATGGAATGTTCAGGGTCACTTTTACCAGGGGCGTAGGAAGGGGGGGCCGCCCCAGGTTGCATCATGGAGGGGGGTGACCAATGATCAAGGAACAATTACTGCCCTACTAGGGCGGTTCATAAAAAAACTTTTTTTAAAAAAATGCCTGCTCCAAAGGTCTTATCTTACTACACTAGGGATTGTATAGCTATAAATGAGGGTCAAATTAATATCTTGACTCTCCTCCATGAAAATAGCTGTTTACCTGGCCATTTTCCTATGTCGTGAAGGCTGAAATTTCAATTCAGTGGAGCACTTACTGTTCCCAACCCTAACCCTTTGGAAAGCCAGGTAAGTAGACTTTAATTTAATTTTGACATGTTTTCAGGAGGTAATTTAATTATTGTTTGATTTTATACCAATGTTCTGTAACTTATGTTAGCCGCCCTGAGCCCGACTTCAGCCGTGGAGGGCAGGATAAAAATAAAAGTTTATCATTATTATTACTTCTTATTATTCCTTTGTAAGAAAATATGAAATAACATAAAACCATTTTTGCAGGGAGGGGGAGATCAATGTGGGGGGGGTGACAAGAAATTTTTCGCACCGGGTACCACCTGACCTTCCTACGCCTCTGACTTTCACTTATTTATTTTTAAATCTAATATCAAATTTCTACACTGCCTCTCATCCAAAAATCACAAGATGGCTCACGATGGCAGAGGATGGCCCCAGCCAAGATAAGGGCTTGTAAAAATTCCTCTTCCTGCTTATTTCTGGTGGTGAGAAAGTAAGGAACCCATAAAAGGGTGTGTGTCGCTGGGAGGGCTTCTTTAAATGAAGGAACAGGCTCAGCAGTGCTTTGAGCATATTCTCAGTTTAGATAATCTCTCTTTTCTTTTCTTTTTCAAACTCATTTTTATATGATTTTACCAATATAAAATTAGAACAATCCAAATACGTATCCATACGTAGAGATTACTCTGAATCTCACAACTTCCCCCCACACTCTCGATGGGTCCTATTTCTACATTTAAATATTCATGTTATTCCATACACTATATTTTAATTCAATCCAAATTATTCATGGTATTTGTTACATCACAAGCGGGATTAAAATCCTGCTAATCTTTCCATCTGTTTCCAGAGCTCTCCTAGATAACTAATATTATCAAATTTCTACACCACTGCTCATCCGAAAAGCACAGGATGGTTCACATTGGCAGAGTGTGGCCCCAGCCAAGATGAGAACTTGTAAAAATTTCTCCTCCTGCTGCTTTCTGATAGTGGGAAAGCAAGGGACCCATAAAAGGGTGTGTGTGGCCCAGATGACTTCTTTAAATGATGGACCCACTTCCCACTGGTGGAGGCAGTGCTCTGAGCATATTCACAGTTTAGAGCATCTCTCTTTATCTGATTCCCACCACTAGATGCAAAGTTGATGCAAATCCCTTTCTAAAAAGCTTTCTATTTAAATAGCTCTACCCACACCAAGTCTTCAGATCCTCAGCTGGACCAAATTAGTTGTTAATCCAGAGAGAGGAGTTTCTCTCTGCAAACAATGAAGGCCCCCTTTCTTTTACTGTCTTTGTTAGCAGTGCCGCTGTGTGAGTATCTTCCAGATAAACATTTTTTTAAAAATCAAATATTACAGATGCACAAATTGCATGGTAATGAAAGTCTTGTTGTTGTCCTTAGATGTCCACTGCAGTGTCCAACTTATGGAATCTGGACCAAGGATTGTGAATCCTGGAGGGTCCCTGAGACTAACCTGCACTGTCAAAAATAATTTCTGGGAATGGGTCATTTCTGGGGATTCTGTCAAAAATAATTTCTGGGAATGGGTCCGACAGGCTCCCGGAAAAGGCCTGGAATGGATGGGCCAGATCGACTGGTCTAGCAGCAAATGGAGATTATTCTACAGCCCATATCTCCAAGGTCGAATCACTGTGACTGCCGATGCCTCCAGAAATACATACGACCTGGAGCTGAGATCTGTGACAGCTGCAGACACAGCTATATATTACTGTGCCCGCAGGAAACACAGTGAGAAAAACCAAAGGAAAAACTGTACAAAAGTTTAGAGGCATCTCTTACTGGGTGAAGTGTAGGAGCATCTCCTAAAAAAAAAATTCCGTTTCTCACAAGGGGGCAGCAGTGATTTAAAGCCTATGAAGCCATTCACCACAACTGAAATAAAGTCTGAAATAAAGCCTTGTTTGGTTTTTTTGGTTACAGCTGTGAAGCTGAGTATTTTTTCCTCAGCTGCCTCGACTTCGCTGGCAGCATTAGAGTTTGATTCCCCAAGAGACATTTTCATAACTTTCTATTCAGAACCAAGAAAACCACCTCACCATCATTTCCCAATGTATAGATGATGATGATGATGATGATGATGATGATAATAATAATATTAATTTATTTATACTCCACCCTTCCCGGTTGAGGAAACCGGGCTCAGGGCAGCTAACAACAAATTTAAAACACTTAATTGTAAAAGCATTGTAAAATACAGTATAAAAACATGAATAACAATAAAATTCAAAAATCAATTTGGGGAAATCCATCTAATAAGCATTTGATAGTCACCAGGGCTAGCTAGCTGAATTAGTCCTACTTGGGCCAGTGAGGAGGCCAGGGGAGAATTAGCTGTGGGGTCTCAGAGCGGGTAATCTTCATAAAAGGGGAGGGGGAAGGAAGAGAAGGGAAATAAAAGATCAGTCTGAATTCAAATTAAAGGCCAGGCGAAATAGCTCTGTTTTGCAGGCCTGACGGAAGGAGATTAAATCCTGAAGGGCCCTAGTCTCATGGGGCAGAGCATTCCACCAGGTCGAAGCCATCACTGAAAAGGCCCTGGCCCTGGTGGAGTATAATCTGACCTCCTTAGGGCCCGGGACCTCTAAACGATGGTTATTCATGGACCTTAAGGTCCTCCGCGGGGCATACCAGGAGAGGCGGTCCCGTAAATACGGGGGCCCTAAGCTAAAAAGGGCTTTAAAGGTCAAAACCAGCACCTTGAACCTGACCCTATACTCCACTGGGAGCCTGTGTAACTGGTAAAGCACTGGGTGAATATGCTCCCATGGCAGGGACCCCGTGAGGAGCCTCGCTGCAGCATTCTGCACCCGCTGGGGTTTGTGGGAAAGTTTCAAGGGCAGCCCCGCATAGAGCGAATTACAGTAGTCAAGCCTGAAGGTGACTAGACAGAATTGCTATTCTATTCCATACATTCCAGCTCTGCGACACACAGAAAGGGGCATACAAATCTGTGTAAAAATTTGTGTTAAAACTATGCTAATTCATATCTATAGATGCACATTCAGATATCATAGAAATAGAATTAATAGCACTATAGTGCATCTTACCATTGGGTCTGTATATATATTTAACACTGAACTTTTAAGCTGAATCTGCCTTCCTGCCTCTTACTTTGAATGCATTTTTCCACCACATTGCTCCCCATTAATACAAGTCCACTATCTCTCAAGCTGTGTCTACTGTGTATGTGCAAAGAACAAACATTGCTAACGTGTTTCTCTTTTTATCCTGAGCTTTATGTAAATGCATGGACAGCTTCCTGTTCCACTGGGTCATAACACTCTTTGAGCCCCATCTCCATCCAGAACTACAAGCACTGTGTGATTGACATCCCATTCCAAGCAACTTTTCCCAAAGCAAGCAAAAGGAATGAGTCCTTTACTTCAATTAGTTTGTTTCCTGGCATTCTTCAGAGGTCAATATTACTATTTAATTATCCTCCGGCATGCAAAGACACACTTGCAGTTTATTGATTAGACATGAATCAATAAGATTAGAGCTTTATAATATCTCTTGTTTTACAGGTATTCAATCACAGTACCAACTGGAGGTGTCAGGAGGCGACACCAAAAGACCTGGAGAGTCCCTCCGCCTCTCTTGTCGAGCTTCTGGCTTCGACTTCAGCAGCTACTGGATGAGCTGGGTGCGACAGGCTGCTGGGAAGGGACTGGAATGGGTGGCATGGATACGCTATGATAGTGGAGAAATATACTATGACAACTCTGTGACAGGACGCTTCACCATCTCCAGGGACAACCCATCAGCCATGCTGTATCTGCAAATGAACAATCTGAAACCAGAGGACACGGCTATGTATTTCTGTGCAAGATTACACAGTGAGAGGAAGTCTGGCAAAAACAACCTCTTCTTGCTCAAGACAGTGCTCCAATTTGTTTCTGTAGGACACAACTGATGGTGGAAACAAGGAGCAGGGACATGAGTCAGGACATTAGAAGATATTTGGACTTTTGAGACCAAAGCTCCACCTAATTCAGGCTTCTTTCCCCCACATTGAATAGTCAGAATCTTCCGGAAAGCACAGCAGGAGATGCAGGCAATGCTACCTCTATTCCCCTTGAGCATGAAGGGGGCATACAGAGTGCATCTGTTCCTAGGTGAGGTGAGGTGAGGCAAATTGCCATGGTAGGGAGACAAATGTTGCAGCAGCATGTTAGCCAGTTTCAGGGAGAGAGAGGTGGACTGTTTCAATCCACTTTGCTCCAGAGTGTCCCTGTTTCCAACTTTGCAGTCCCACTTTCCTGCTTTGTGTGTATATGAAGCAATGTAGGACTTTATTGTTCCTGGCAGACCATCAGTGTAATGGACAGAAGGGGATAGCCATGTTAATTTGGTTGGAAATAAAACAGACCATTTTCTGACATAATGCTTGAACACTCAGAATTGAGCATAGCTGGGATAAATCAAGATCACTCGCATTTTTATTTTTTTAAATAGTGATACCAAATTTCTACACTGCCCCTCATCTGAAAATCACAGGATGGCTCACATTGGCTTCAACCAGGCCCTTGATTAATGGATATTCTAGATGTTTTTGTGGGGGGGGGGGTTACTCTTTTGTTTGCTTCTGTTTTGACTATTTATTTGTGCCTCTATCCTGTGAACCATCCTGAGATATTTTGATGAAGGGCAGTATATAAATTTTATAAATAAATAAATGTTGATCTGATGGTGGATGTTGAGAAGCTGTATCGGGATTCCCTTAAAAACAACAGGTATGGCAGGTGCCAATGACCAATTCCTTTTTGTTTGAGCAGATAATTTTATTATAACAAGACTTCCACCCCAGGCCTCAGATAAGCTCTGCATGGGCCTGCTTCCAAGTCCACACCTTCCAACATTTCTCTGATGAAAATAGGGATATCCAAAGGAAAAGTGGGATATTCTGGGATCAAATCAGGAACTGGGATGGCTTTTGTAAAACTGGGACTGTCCCTGGAAAATAGGGTCTGCAAGTCATGTGTTTGGTATACAAGCCTAACCAGATCTGCTCAGTCAAAGACCAGTGTTGCTCTTTTATCCTGAGCTGCATGTAAATGCAGAGGCAGCTTCCTGTTTAAAGCAGCCGCACACTCTCTGCCCAGCCTACACCCAGAGGTAGAACTGCCGAACCACTTTCCAGTCAGTTGCTCTCAGAGCAAAATTGGGAGACAAACATGACACATTGGCTTCAATTTGTTTTTGTTTCAGCAGTTTTGGGAGGTAATTTTATTCCTTCTTTGAACAAAGATGACTAGTATAATCCAGGGCTTCATATGTAGCAGATCCTTTAAATATGGCTTTCCCCCCTTTCTAGGTGTCCAAACAGCAATCCAGCTGGTAGAATCTGGAGGGGATGTCAAAAGGCCTGGAGAGTCCCTCCGCCTCTCCTGTCAAGCTTCTGGATTCACCTTCAGCAGCTATGCCATGAACTGGGTGCGACAGGCTCCTGGAAAGGGACTGGAATGGATTGCAGTAATCTGGTCTGATGGTAGCCAAAAATATTATGCAGACTCAGTGAAAGGGCGCTTCACCATCTCCAGAGACAACCCTTCAAACATGCTGTATCTGCAAATGAATAGCTTGAAATCAGAGGACACTGCTGTTTATTACTGTGCAAGAAGCACAGTGAAAGGAAGTGAATCTGAAGCCAGACAAAAACCTTCCTTTGCCAGTTGTCTGGACTGGTTCAGCTGCAACCACAAAAAACTAAATGAAGAAGTGTGGAGACGGAAGATAAATTGTCTTGATTTTGTTGGCACAAATGAGGCACCATGTCTATTGTTCAAAATGGAATGCTCAGAGAAAGCCTAGGTTACATTCAGACACCACTTTATTCTATTTCTCCAGCAATTCATTTCCTGCTAAGTTCCACTTCTTATGTGATCTTTTATACAGTGCAAAATTCAATTCTGGTAATCAAGGAGAATCTTGTTGTTGTTTAGTACTCATTCCTATATTGATTGCTTCCATGAAATGTCTATTTGCATGTTTGGAACTCTGTTAGCTCAGAAGATTGTGGCAGATTTGAGCTATAATTTCCCCACTGTTTTAATGGATTACATAATGTGATGAAATTTGGGGAAGAATTCTGAAAAACCACTTTTTGTTCTTGATTGAATGATAAAGCATCAGAACCTCGCATGCACTTAAATGGTGGTACCCAATGTTATCGGATGTTGTGTCACACTGGCATGAATGAAATTTAGCATGACATGGTTGTTTATTTATAAAAAAGCTGCAGTTCCATAATGCAACAGGTGCAAAAGGAATATTAGAAACCAGGAAAAAAGCACCAGCTATCTAATTTGAACTGTAGTAGAACATCAGAACAAAAATAAAATAAATGGGTTTCTGAACAAGAATAAACCAGAGGTTTTATTCTTCACTTCTCAGTTATATAAACTTTTCACATATTGGTTTAGGTTGCTTAGGATGTATGAACAAAACAAAATCTATTAGCATATATAGTAACAACCCAAGCGGAAGTCTTGAATAAGCCCATGGTATCCATTCCATTAATACCACATTGGGAATATATATAAAAAGGAAGTGATGCTCTATATTTTCCTCTTTATTAGCTGCTCCCTGCTGTTCAAGTCAGGTCTCAGGACAATGATGAAGCATTTAGGAGCAAAGATGCAGCCCAGTAACCCAGCACTGGAAGCTAAGATGGAGAAGATCTCCACAGCCACCATGTATTTCCCCTTGGTGCTCAGGTAGGTTGGGACAAATGACAACCAAACACTGCAAAACATCAACATGCTGAAGGTGATGAACTTGGCTTCATTGAAAGTGTCTGGCAGTTTCCTTACTAGAAAAGCCACCGTGAAACTAATGATAGACAACAGTCCCATGTAGCCCAGGACAAGATAAAACATGGTGACAGAACCTTCATTGCATTTGGCTACTATGATTTTAGTTAATGATACCATGTCAAAGTCTGGGAATGGGGGAGAGATAGCGAGCCATACTACACAGATACCTGCTTGAATAAGAGAGCAGGAGAAGACAATGGAGTTGGTCAGTCTTCTACCCACCCACTTCCTCATGTTGGAACCTGGTTTTGTAGCCATGAAAGCGAGAATCACAGTGACAGTTTTGGCCAACACACAGGAAACAGCAACTGAGAAGATGGTGCCAAAAACAGATTGACGGAGAAAGCAGGTCGCCTTACTTGGTTGTCCGAGAAACAATAACGAGCAGAGGAAGCAGAGCAACAGAGAGATGAGCAGGGTATAGGTGACATCCCGGTTGTTGGCTTTGACTATGGGAGTATCTTTGTGTCTAATAAAAATCACAAGCACTAAAGCTGTGATCACTGCTAAAAAAACAGCAACCATAGCAAAGCTGATCCCCAAAGGTTCTTCAAAAGAGAGAAAATTTATAATCTTGGGGAGGCATCTTTCTTGATCTTTGTTTGGATACTCGTTTTCTGGGCATCTGAAACAGTCATCCATGTCTGATGGGAGAAAAAAATGTTGCTCACATAACTATGTTTATTCTATTGTTGACTGAGGTTTTTCTTTTGTCCCAGGGATCTTTGACCTGCCAGTCTCTGACCATTAGTTCCCAGTGTGAGAGCTGGTCTTGAAGAAAGGCATTTTAGTATTATCTAACTATTCTTCTTCTTATCCTTGTTCACCATCTGCATCTATGTTAATTAACATTTCCAAGTAACAGAGGAAAATACCACTAAAATATCAAACATAAATATTACACACACACACACACACACACACACACACACACAATTTTTTCCTATCAAATGTTAGGGAAAAATAGTAATTAGAGACTGATGTGATGTGGCAAACTGAATTTAAGATTCATCCATCTCTTTTAAAGGGATTGGAGAGCTTTTCTTTTTTTAGACAACACATCTTCGTACTGTTTAAAGGAAAATACCCCCTTCATGGATCACTACCTTGCCGTGGCGAAGGGGCTTGAATAACTCAGAGAAGCTATGAACTATGCCAAGCAGGGCACCCAAGATAGACAGGTCATAGTGGAGAGTTTTGACCAAATGTGATCCACCTGGAGCAGGAATCGGCAAGCCACTCCGGTATCCCTGCCAAGAAAACTCCATGGACAAAGACAACAGGCATATAAAAGTTATGACGCTAGAAGAGGAGCCCCTCAGGTCGGAAGGTGTCCAACATGCTACTGGGGAAGAGCGGAGGACAAGTACAAGTAGATCCAGAGCTGATGAAGCGGCTGGGCCAAAGCCGAAAGGATGCTCAGTTGTGGATATGCATGGAAGCGAAAGGAAAGTCCAATGCTGTAAAGAAAAATATTGCATAGGAACCTGGAATGTAAGAACCATGAACCTGGGTAAGTTGGATGTGGTCAAAAATGAGATGGCAAGAATAAATATTGACATCCTGGGCATCAGTGAACTAAAATGGACGGGAATGGGCGAATTCAGTTCGGATGACTATCATATCTACTACTGTGGGCAAGAAACCCGTAAAAGAAATGGAGTGGCCCTCATAGTCAACAAAAGAGTGGCAAAAGCTGTACTGCGATGCAATCTCAAAAATGATAGCATGATCTCGATACAAATCCAAGGCAGACCTTTTAACATCACAGTAATTCAAGTATATGCACCAACTACTGGTTCTGAAGAAACTGAAATTGACCAATTCTGTGAAGACTTACAAGACCTTATAGAAGTGACACCAAAGAAGGATGTTCTTCTCATTATAGGGGATTGGAATGCTAAAGTAGGGAATCAAGAGATAAAAGGAACAACTGGCAAGTTTGGCCTTGGAGATCAAAACAAAACAGGGCAAAGGCTAATAGAGTTCTGTCAAGAGAACAAGCTGGTCATCACAAACACGCTTTTCCAACAACACAAGAGACGACTCTACACATGGACATCACCAGATGGGCAACATCGAAATCAGATTGATTATATTCTCTGCAGTCAAAGATGGAGAAGCTCTATACAGTCAGCAAAAACAAGACCTGGAGCTGACTGTGGCTCAGATCATCAGCTTCTTATAGCAAAATTCAAGCTTAAACTGAAGAAAGTAGGAAAAACCACTGGGCCGGTAAGATACAATTTAAACCAAATCCCTTATGAATACACAGTAGAAGTGAGGAACAGGTTTAAGGATTTAGATTTGATGGGCAGAGTGCCTGAAGAACTATGGGTGGAGGCTCGCAACACTATACAGGAGGCAGCAACGAAAACCATCCCAATGAAAAAGAAATGCAAGAAAGCAAAGTGGCTGTCCAACAAGGACTTACAAATAGCGGGGGAGAGAAGGCAAGCGAGGGAGATAGTGAAAGATACAGGAAATTGAATGCAGATTTCCAAAGAATAGCAAGGAGAGACAAGAAGGCCTTCTTAAACGAGCAATGCAAAGAAATAGAGGAAAACAACAGAATGGGAAGAACCAGAGATCTGTTCAAGATAATCAGAAATATGAAAGGAACATTTCGTACAAAGATTACCATAATAAAGGACAAAAGTGGTAAGAACCTAACAGAAGCAGAAGACATCAAGAAGAGATGGCAATAATACACAGAGGAATTATACCAGAAAGATATGGATGTCTCATACACCCCAGGTAGTGTGGTTGCTGACCTTGAGCCAGACATCCTGGAGAGTGAAATCAAATGGGCCTTAGAAAGCACTGCAAATAACAAGGCCAGTGGAAGTGATGGTATTCCAGCTGAACTATTTAAAATTTTAAAAGATGATGCTGTTAAGGTGCTACACCTAATATGCCAGCAAGTTTGGAAAACTCAGCAGTGGCCAGAGGATTGGAGAAGATCAGTCTACATCCCAATCCCAAAGAAGGGCAGTGCCAAAGAATGCTCCAACTACCGCACAATTGCACTCATTTCACACGCTAGCAAAGTTATGCTTAAAATTCTACAAGGAAGGCTCAAGCAGTATGTGGACCGAGAACTCCCAGAAGTGCAAGCTGGATTTAGAAGAGGCAGAGGAACCAGAGACCAAATTGCAAACATGCGCTGGATTATGGAGAAAGCTAGAGAGTTCCAGAAAGACATCTACTTCTGCTTCATTGACTATGCAAAAGCCTTTGACTGTGTCGACCACAGCAAACCATGGCAAGTTCTTAAAGAAATGGGAGTGCCTGATCACCTCATCTGTCTCCTGAGAAATCTCTATGTGGGACAAGAAGCTACAGTTAGAACTGGATATGGAACAACTGATTGGTTCAAAACTGGGAAAGGAGTACGACAAGGCTGTATATTGTCTCCTGCTTATTTAACTTATATGCAGAATTCATCATGCGAAAGGCTGGGCTGGATGAATCCCAAGCCGGAATTAAGATTGCCGGAAGAAATATCAACAACCTCAGATATGCAGATGACACAACCTTGATGGCAGAAAGTGAGGAGGAATTAAAGAACCTTTTATTGAGGGTGAAAGAGGAGAGCGCAAAATATGGTCTGAAGCTCAACATCAAAAAAACGAAGATCATGGCCACTGGTCCCATCACCTCCTGGCAAATAGAAGGGGAAGAAATGGAGGCAGTGAGAGATTTTACTTCCTTGGGCTCCATGATCACTGCAGATGGTGACAGCTGTCACGAAATTAAAAGACGCCTGCTTCTTGGGAGAAAAGCAATGACAAACCTAGACAGCAAATTAAAAAGTAGAGACATCACCTTGCCAACAAAGGTCCGTATAGTAAAAGCTATGGTTTTCTCAGTAGTGATGTATGGAAGTGAGAGCTGGACCATAAAGAAGGCTGATCGCCGAAGAATTGATGCTTTTGAATTATGGTGCTGGAGGAGACTCTTGAGAGTCCCATGGACTGCAAGAAGATCAAACCTATCCATTCTTAAGGAAATCAGCCCTGAGTGCTCACTGGAAGGACAGATCGTGAAGCTGAGGCTCAAATACTTTGGCCACCTCATGAGAAGAGAAGACTCCTGGAAAACACCCTGATGTTGGGAAAGATGGAGGGCACAAGGAGAAGGGGACGACAGAGGATGAGATGGTTGGATGGTGTTCTTGAAGCTACCAGCATGAGTTTGATCAAACTGCGGGAGGTAGTGGAGGACAGAAGTGCCTGGCGTGCTCTGGTTCATGGGGTCACGAAGAGTCGGACACGACTAAACGACTAAACACACACACAGGAAAATACAATTTTGAGTCATTTATTATCCTTGGTGCAGCCAAGTTCCCAATTCTTCAGCACATGCATTTACCATAGTTTTTGTATTTTTTTTCCATCATGTGATGACTTTGGATTGTGTAAACTAACCTTGACCTATGAAAATCCCAAGATGCATATGTATTCACATTCCATTAATCTTTTACCTGTAAGATATATTGCATGAAATTTAATCTCCGTTTACACTGGTCATATTTGCAGCAATAAATCACCCACCCTTTTGGTGTGAAATCTTCCCTTCTGCACACTGAGCACAGTCATAGCAACAAAATTTCTCTCCCTCGTTCTTTTTCTTCTGAAAGCCAGGGGGGCAGGAGTCACTGCATACAGAAAGGGGAGGTACCTATCAATAAACAAGACAATCAGATAAATTCAGAACGCTTTTGATCAATAACTGTTATACAAAGAAACAACTGATCAGTCAGCATAGAAGAATGCAAAACATAGCAGATGGCATGAGTTAGCTAGTTCTTTCCTAATCATGGCAAATGCCATTTTTGCAGAATTGTATTGGTTGAAGGCAACCTAACAATTAATGAAATGACATTAACTTCTCCAGAGGTACTTAATCCAATAGGAACTGTTTTGACCAGCTTGGTGGTGACCATAAACAACTTTCTTCATACTCTCCCACAGCCCAACAAAATTTCATTATTCATAAGTGCTTCACTTCTGTACAAAATAGTTGTGAGCAACAGATACATTTTTCACTTAATAAGAGTCCTTCAATGTCAGGTCAAAGTCCCATCTAGACCAGCATCATCTTTGCATGGTAGCCACCTGGATGCCCATAGGAAGTCCACAAGCAAGACCTGAGTGCAGCAGCACTCTTCTCACTTATGATTAACAGCAGCATAGATCCAGAGACACACTGCTTCTAACACTGTTAGTAGAACATAGCCAACGTGTTTAGCAGCTTTCAAGTTACATTCTCCATGGATTTGTCTATTCCCACTTCAAACTATTTAAATGGGTAGCCATCACTACGTGCATTATAAATGCACACAACACATACGCGTACACTTACATATGCTTCAGGTTACATACGCTTCAGGTTACACACTCCACTAACCCAGAAATAGTGCTTCAGGTTAAGAACTTTGCTTCAGCATAAGTACAGAAATCGGGCTTTGGTGGCACTGTGGCAGCAGGAGGCCCCATTAGCTAAAGTGGTGCTTCAGGTTAAGAACAGTTTCAGGTTAAGAACGGACTTACCGAATGAATTAAGTACTTAACCCGAGGTACCACTGTACAGACTGATCTTGGTAGAGCTGTTCACAATCCATTTTCAGTGTTTAACTGTTAAAGCCCTAAATTACCCCCCCCCCCCCCGTTGCTTTCTTTGCAGGCCCTTTCCCATGATCCTGTCCCAGCTAATGAAATGAAGCAGAGGAGAGGGCCTACTTGGTGGTGGCACCCCACTTCTTGATTCTCCTCTCCAAAGAGTTTTGCTTTGCCCAAACAATATTAACAGGTTAGCATCTTCTTGAATACCTTATTGTTCCCTTCCTTCTGGTGCTTCAGCATTTCCCACCAAGTTTCCTTTGGACAGTTTCATGTTGTCCTTAAATTGTTCATGTGTTCATACAGATTTTAGATGGAGTTTTGCTGTTGTGATTTAATGTGTGGAATTATCGCTTGCATTCTGTATGTTAACATTTTTTGTGAACCAGCACTGGAGCTGTTTAGTATACAAATGTGATATTGGGATAGGTGATAATGGGAATGTAAGAGTCGTTGTAGGCTTCACCAAAGGAAGCATACAGCCCCAATATCATCCATTCTGCTGCATGGAACACACACAAACACACACCAATATGCCAAGAATACACAACCTGGTTAAAATTTCTGCTCCACACAATTGATGATTCATTGATGGTGAAATCCTTCCCCTCAAAGGCACTGGGATTCACATGTCCCACCTTTACTCGAAGAAAGGAGGTGTTTGGAAATATGACCATATTGGTTAAATCAAATCCTGCAAGCAATTCCCCTTTATTATTAAAAGTCACTGTTTCCCCAGCAGTGTTGTTAAATGAAGTGCCTTGAAGAAATTGGTGGAGCTAATTGACAGGGGGAAAGGAGACATTAGTTTTATATAACTGATGTGCTGAGAAAGGTCTGCCTACATCAAATAAATAACGAAACCTTGAAGCTTAGTATGGGTGCACCACCAAGACCCTGCATAGATCTTGTCCCCATCTCTTCTAGTCTCCTGTCCTTTCAGGAGAAGCTTTGATGAAGCCATCCTCTGATGTCCAAGATGCCTTAGCAGGCTCACCAAATGTTGTTTTCATTTTTCTTCCCTCTCCACTCACATTCTATCTGCATAGCATGAAGCTACATACAGGTAAAGGCCTTCAAATAAGACTTTGGTCCAAGTTAGTACATCATAGGTGAAAAACGGCTATATATCTATTCTCAACCAATAAAGCAAAGCATTCTCAGATGGCTAACATAACAGGTGATCAGGTCTTCCCACACTATTGGGTGGCTTGATGTGCAAAGCAGCCCCCAAATTACTCACTGACAGAGCGGGTGAGGCAAGTAACACTATTTCAGTGGTGAAAGACTAGAAATTTGCAGCTCACTTTTCCCATGCTCCACGTATAGGTAGAAATGTGAACCCTCCCGTGACTTTCTCTATCATTAATATGTGCATAATTTCTACAGGTATTCAAGGAGAACACATTTTGATGCTTTTTCTTTATGTATGAATGCATTCCTAGCAATGAAGCCGTTCTGTGGTGACAACATTACCTGCCAAGGCTGAAGATCTTGAAATTCAGAACTTTTCCTCCCCACCATCACTCTATCTTTCAATGTAGATGAGTTCATGGAATGCAAAGCATGTGCCACAGCATAGACAGCATTGTAGATGCTGTAACTGTGACCTGTCATGTCCATTTCAAAAACAGGTCCAGGAAGACTCTCCAGCCTCTCCTGTCCAATACATGGTCTATCTACCTCCAGTGTTATGCTGGGGTTGGAAAATGTACATCCGAATGCTTGTTCCCAAAACCCTTGGAGAAAACCATCTCCTCGTGTCTGATAAGGTTTTATGTTGTGAAGATAAGCCTGGAATCCTAGATGTCCACTTGCATGTATAGCAAAAGAAATAGCCCCCTGGAATATTTGAAAATTACGACGTGTTATAAAGCCTGTTACTGAAAAATCAATCTGGGCTGTTGTAATCCAGACCTTCCCAACAGATATATTTCCTCCATATTCCAGATCTGCTATTGGCACTAATGTGCTCAGCCACAGAAGGGTCATGCTTTCACCATAGATAATAATTGCTCTAGCTTTTCTATCCATGAAAGAATGATAAATGTTTGATGCCATATCGCTCAGAATATCAAGGGAAATGAATCGTCCTTGTTTCTGGAGCCTTTCTGTGAAAGCTGAACATATCCCGTGCTGAGAAAGCAGTGGCTCCAGGTTCTGCAAGAAATGGTCTCCACTGTCATCAGCAGCAGCTAGGAGCCCAACCCAGGTCCATCCAAAATGTTGAAGCAACTGGATAATCCCACTGTACTGATGGGTTTCACTTGGGACCATGCGGTAAAAGGAAGGGAAATTCTTTGTGCTACTTTCCTCTGGGGCAAATGAGCCGAATGTGAGCTGAAAGAAAATGTACAGATAGTTTAGAGATGGGTTGCAATTTGTGGTGGGCAAAAACCCCTCACTTACCTTTCCAGAATCTTTACATAGAAATGAAAGTGGTGCCAGAGCTGTCCTGGGTGCTTTATAGAAGCTTTTATAACTCAGGGATTTAATTACATGCAAAAGAAGGGGTCCTACTCTTGGAAAAGTTGGGTCTTGCTTTTTCAATATCCAATAAGGCTTTGTTTTTCTGCAAGTCGTTTTCAGCCTCTTCCTGAACCACAAAGGCAGTAACAGGATGACAAGAGGAGAGCATATCTTCTCCATGAACAGATGTTACCTGTGGAATCTTGTAGAGAGTTAAGATGTCTGCCACGTGGAAAGAAATATCAGAGCTCATTCCCCCAATGACAGCCATGAGTTTTTTCTGAGTGCCACATTTGTAGTTGGGGATAAATCTATGTGAATTGAAGAGCTGGTCCAGAGTGGTGCGGTAGGTCATCCTTGCATCATAGTAGCTGTCACAGATGTGGAACCCAAGTGTGACATTGGGCAAGATTTTTGGGTTCTTGTTGACCTCGTTTACAGCAAATGCCAAGGCCAAGGCATGCTGGTAAGACTTTGTCACTACACTGCAATGAGAGTTACATTTTCTTTCAGTGGAGAATTCTAAAGCAAAAGAAATTGTTTTGTCACAATACATTTCTGTTCAGGCTTTCTGTAAAGCAATCTAATTCAGCCATGCAAGACCATCAAGTTCTTGCCACCATTGGGGGGGGGGGGATTTGCAGAACAAACTCAACAATGCTTGAGAACTATAGAAAAAGAGGGTTGGTTATGGGGAAGATGGAAGAAATGTGGGTGGGGGAGAGGGGATAAAATAAATTAAAATGATGGATCACATTGACATGGATAATGAATGACAATTTGTCCTCCAACACCACAATGCCCCATTTGGGACTGAAGGACGAAATTTAAGAAATGTAAATAACTGAATAGAGATGTCTGATGTTGACATATTGCTTATAGGTGTCTTCTGCGGATTCTATTTCTTACAATTTCTAATCTGTCTTACCTGATATGGGATGGAAGGTATCTTACCTTGGAAGATCGAAGCCCAAATCATTAGAAGGATGTTGTTTGAAGGACACTTCAGGGAAAAAGAAGATGATCTGAGAAGAGATGGCGCCAATGAGGAGGTCTCCAGGCTCATACCATTCATGGGGAACAGGAAGGGGGTCATTTGTTGGACATTTCAGGGTATCTACTTTGCACACCATGTGGGGCAGCAGAAGCAGAAACAAGACTAACACCACCATCTGACAGCAATTTTCTCTAGATGAAGATGCTGCTGTGTCTATCTGCAGCCTTATTCCTGACACTACCCTAATCAAACAATGCACATCAGGATATAGCTGACTCTGCCAATATGCCTGGTGAAGAGAAGAATATCACCTTTAAACTTAATATCTATACGCTTGCAAAACAAAACAAATCAGATGGTACATGTGATAACAGGGCTGTGGAATAAAACTGATGGGATCCTGGTTCCCTCTTGCCCTCAATCCCACCTCTCAATGACAAAACTGGTGGGATTTATTGAGCTACTTCTAGGTTGTTTTTCCTACTCCCTTCCAGAAAGTTCGTGGAGATTTGCCAAGGAAAATGAATGGCAGTGAGCCAGATAATTACAGAGGAGGTAATTACCCCTGGCGAGGAGTTTGGTTTCTAAGGGATGACATGTGTTTTGCTCTCTCCCCCCCCCCTGCAACTTGTTTTTTTAGTGCAACAGTAACTGGGATGGAGGTTCAGGTGACCACAGCAAAAAAACAACAACCCAAAAAACACCAGTAGGACAGCTAAGCCCAACCCAAAGGAGAAGACAGAAAGAAGGATGGAATATTTGGCCTAGAACTGATACAGTTTTGAACCCCTTTTTATGACAGGAAATGTCAAGTGTCTCTTCCCATGGTTCCTCTCAATATCCTGACTGATTTGGGTGTTATTTGCTTGTGGATATTATACATATGAGTATCATTCTTTCCCCCCCCCCTTCATATATGTAATCTGGTCTGCTACCTACAATACTGACATGGTCTTTCCACTCAGAAATATTTCAATTATATACCTCTGTGAAGAATTTTGAGAACTGCATTTTACACAGACACACAAAATATACAACAGAAGACGGACCCTGAGATTTTCCTACAGGACAGAATTGAGGGAACATAGAAAGCTGTCTTATTCTGAGTGTTCCATCTAGTTCTTATACTGAGTGCTCCATCAAGTTGTCTACATTATCTGGGAAATTTAATTTCCAAGGGTGCCAGACAATCCCACTTTCCTGCATTTTTCTCCTCCGTGAAAGAATGATTGACTCACTCACTTTGAAAGGACCACTCATCCTGGTGGTCTTTTGATTAGATTTTTTGGTCCTCTTTCTGTGTGGGTGGGGTGATTCCTTGTTCCTTTCTTAATCTCCCCCCACAAATTTTTTTTGGAGTGGTGGCATGTGGTTTATCATTTGTTAAATAATTGTTTTATACTTTTTTAGGTCTACCATCTTCATTTGTCACTTTTCATTCTGAAAATTCAATTTTTATATTATAGTACTCTCATTTTACTCAACATCACCATCCTGGCTTGTCCCCACCCTCCTTCACCAGTCCCTGTCTGCTTGCCCCAATTTTTTACCTGGCAGGCAGGATGGCAGCCTGTCTGTGCCTGGACTATCAGAAATGTCACAGTGGGAGTGCTATCTCCTCTCGTGAAGTATTTGTGGTACTTGGAGACAGTTCTACCCCTTTTGCCAGTTCACGTGACTGGACTGAGCAGAGTTATTTAAGTCCCCTGTGTCCAGTCACATCCTTGCCATGTCACTTTTGGGGGAATTACACTGGTCGCAGCTCAGCCAGCTTCTGCTGAGACGAGATGATAAAATTAAATCAGAATATATTCATCTGAACTGGATTTGAGGACTTAACATCTCTGAAGATCCACCAGATCCTAACTTGCTAACCCTAGTAGCCTTTGTCACAGGATTGCCCCGTAAGTAGCTATTTTAACTGAAGACAAAGATTAATAGAATTTGTACTCACTTCAACACAAGACTAACTCTCTGCAAGGTTGTGGGTCCTCCCCTTTGTATTTTTGTGTTCAGGCAATGTCCTTTAGAAGGCGTCCCAAGGGCCCTAGGAATAATCAGACCTTCCTCTCCAAGGAAAAATTGACTCTCCATCCTCAGAGAAGCTGATGTCAAGTCAGCGTCCCCTTCCCCTCCATTGTGGGGTATGGAGATGAGGGATCCTACACCTTCCCAGTCCCCTAACACCTTCCAGACAACAACAGCTACTGATTGGGAACTGCGGAGCTCAACTCATTTCCTGTTGTTTCCAATAAGACAGAAATGTGTGTTTTGTTTTTGTTTTTAAAAAAGTTCAACCCCAAGAGCATATGGGTCTTTTGAAGGGACAGGTGAACTCTCCATACCCCAGTCTTATGAGTGCAGCTTAGAATAGATAGATACATATATTGTTGTTCTTTTTATCTTTTAAAAGCCGCTGTCTACTGTCCATATTTTTTTTATAAATTACTTATCGTTGATAATGATCCAATAGTAATAATCTCCCTTCTTATGCTCACTGATATATGCAAAGTCACAAGAACTTGGACTTCTTGCTTCAGGCCTTAGGATCACACCTCTCACTTCACACATAATGCCCGGAACGGCGCATTAAGTCCCTTTAAGAGCCAGACCATCACACCACTAGGCGGTCTTTATTGCCAATGTTCACTGCACTAGTGGCCTCATTCTCGTGTATGTATGGCTTTAAATCTTATTCTTTCCCTCACCCAATATGCTTTTCATGTCATAATTAGGGGCTCTTGCCTTTTCTATCTCATCTTTCCTGTTCCCATTCCAGGTGCCCTCACACAGGTTGTACTGATAGAGTCGGATCTAGTATTGAAGAAACCTGAAGGATCCCATAAACTGACCTGTGCTGTCACAGGATTTGATATTAAACACTACTATATGGACTGCGTCCAGCAAAAACCTGGAAAAAGCATGGAATGGCCTCTTCACTACTATAGTATTGGGAGCAAATACTACTACTCTACAATCCAAGGGGCTAAACTGAGACTGGAGGATTGATAGCTGGTATAAGGACCCCCCAAATGTCTGTTCTAGGGGACATGGCAAGACCAGCACAAAATCTACTGGTTTTTTTTTAAAAAAATCATTTTTGTAAATTACCTATGTTACCCATCGAGTCTGATACCTTTGTGGATAAGCATTGTATGTAATCTGTGGCATAGATGCTTTAAATGCACACTTGATGAAAAGACAAGAGATATGGTTCCATATTATATTGGCTCCTCCCCTCTTAAATTCACTGATTTATGCAAAGATGCAAAAAGGAGTGTCCTTCTTAAGCCTTCAAAGGCTCATGCCTCACACCGACTTCCTGCAACGGAACATTAAGTCTCTTTCAGATCCAGACTATCCCACCATTATGCTCTCTTTACTGCCAGTGCTCATTTCCCTGGCTGCTTCTTTCCCATGTATGTTGATGTCTTTTTCCTTCCTTAATTCATTGAGTCATTCATGTGACATCTGTGGGCTGTTGCTTCTCCTGTTTCAGCTCTTTTTCCTGTGTTCCTATTCCAGGCACTCTCACACAAATTATTCTGACCCAGTCGGATCCAGTACTGAAGAAACCTGGAGAATCTCACAAACTCACCTGTGCTGTCACTGGGTTTGATGTTAACAGCTACGCTATGGGTTGGGTCCGACAAAAACCTGGAAAAGGATTGGAATGGCTTGTTCGCTACTATAGAGGTTGGAGCAGTCAATATTATTCCCCTGCAATTCAAGGGCGATTCACAGCCTCAACAGACAGCTCCAACTTCTATCTGCAAATGAACAACCTGAAAGCAGAAGACACGGCTGTCTATTACTGTGCGAGAGACACAGTGAGTGAGATCCCACTAGACCTCAGACAAAAACCCTTCACTGCATTTCATTTTATGACAAATAACCAGAGGGGGCAGCAAAGGGCAACAAACCAGAAAGCCACAAACCAGAAATGACTGATGGTCCACCGATTTCATTTTTTGACCATGCCCCAGTCTGTAATGAGTTGCTCTAATTTTGTCTGCTACAAAAGAACAGCTCTGAGACAGTGCCCTCCCCTCATTTTTCCCCACCTGTGCCTTTTTCTGAGAGAGCTTGTCAGCTTCCTTCCAAGACAAAATATATTTTCCTTTAACCATGTCCAGAAAGGCAGTTTTTCTAGTGTAGTTTTTTTCTCATGATCCTTTGTGCTGTTTGAAACTGAACCCACCCATTAGGCTGCAGTTGTGGATGTTCTGTGAAGGCCTTCTGATGCAGATTTGTAGGCCTTCGTAGATTGATTAGTGGGAGATGTAGGGCATAACCTAACCCCTACAGATACCAACCAACGAAGATGTCCAATCTACAATATGTTGAAATGGTCCTTTAGTGTGGCGGCTCCTGCCCTTTGCAACTCCTCACCATTATATATCGGACAGGCACTTCCTTTGTTGTCTTGGCAGCAACTGCTAAAGACATTCCTCCATCAAACATTTTAAAATGAGATATTTATCCCAACTGGAAACATTATAGGACACAAATTGATAGGAGATGTATATAAGTGCTTTCTCAGCTAGCAGTCCTGGAGCAGAATACACTTTGATGAATGGGATCAGAATGCAGTGCCTCACCCAAATCCACAGCTGGAGAAATGTTATCCTACCTGAGCTGTCTGGATACAACATGAATCCAGGTGGCTGAACAGAGGCTGGAGGATCTACAGTTTGTATAAGGACTCCCCAAATTTTGTTATATGGGACATGGCAAGGTCAGGACAATGCAGGAATGGGGAAACTAGTTTAAATTTTTATTCCATTTGAACCAGACTGATACATATATTCATCAAAATCTACTGTTCTTTTTTTTTATAAAAAAAATCATTTTGTAGATTACCTATGTCACCTACCGAGTTTGATACCTTTGTTGACAAGCATTCTATGTAATCTGTGGCATAGATACTTTGAATGCACACTTGATGAAAAGACAAGAGATATGGTTGCATATTATATTGGTTCCTACCCTCTTATATTCGTTGATTTATGCAAAGCTGCAAAAAGTAGTTTCCCTTTTCAGACTTAAAAGTCTCACACCCCACCCAGACTTCCTGCAACGGCACATTACATCTCTTTCTGATCCAGACTATCCCACCATTATGCTGTCTTTACTGCCAGTGCTCATTGCATTGGCTGCTTCTTTCCCATGTATGTCGAGATCTTTTTCCTTCCTTAATTCATTCATTATGAGTTTCATGTGATAACTGTGGGCTGCTGCATTTCCTATTTCAGCTCTTTTTTCTTCCTTCCTATTCCAGGCACCCTCACACAAATTGTTCTGACCCAGTCGGATTCAGTACTGAAGAAACCTGGAGAATCTCACAAACTCACCTGTGCTGTCACAGGGTTTAATGTTAACAACGACTATATGGGCTGGATCCGACAAAAACCTGGAGAAGTCTTGGAATGGCTTGTTCTCTACTATAATGCTGGGAGAGATTATAGGTATTCCCCTACAATCCAAGGGCGATTCACAGCCTCAACCGACAGCTCAAACTTCTACCTGCAAATGAACAAGCTGAAAGCAGAAGACACGGCTGTCTATTACTGTGCGAGAGACACACTGAGTGAGATCCCACTAGACCTCAGACAAAAACCCTTCACTGCATTTCATTTTATGACAAATAACCAGAGGGGGCAGCAAAGGGCAACAAACCAGAAAGCCACAAACCAGAAATGACTGATGGTCCACTGATTTCATTTTTTGACCATGCCCCAGTCTGTAATGAGTTGCTCTACTTTTGTCTGCTACAAAAGAACAGCTCTGAGACAGTGCCCTCCCCTCATTCCCCCCCCCGTGCCTTTTTCTGAGAGAGCTTGTCAGCTTCCTTCCAAGACAAAATATATTTTCCTTTAACAATGTCCAGGAAGGCAGTTTTTCTAGTGTAGTTTTTCTCATGATCTTTTGTGCTGTTGGAAACTGAACCCACTGATTAGGCTGCAGTTGTGGATTTTCTGTGAAGGCCTTCTGATGCAGATTTCTAGGCCTAGGCAGATTGATTGAAGGGAGGTAGGACATAACCTTAACCCTACAGATACCAACCAATGAGGTTGTCCATTCCGCACACTGCAAAATTGGTCCTTTAGTGTGGCGGATCCTGCCCTTTGCAACTCCTCACCATTATATATCAGACAAACACCTTTATTGTCTTTTCAGCAATTGCAAAAGACATTCCTCCTTCATCAAACATTCTAAATTGAGGCATTTATCCCAATTGGTGAGAACATTGGACATTAATTGATTGGAGGTGTATAGAAGTGCTTTTTAGCTGGCTGTCCTCGAGCAGAAGACACTTGGATGAATGGGGTCACAATGGAGAGCATCACCCAAATCCACTCAGCTGGAGACATGTCATCCTATCTGAGCTGCCCGGGTGCAGCAGGAATCCAGCTGGCTGAACTAACCTGGAGCACCTAAGGCTGGCATCAGGATCCCCAAATGGCTGTTCTAGGGAAAATTGCAAGGTCAGAACATTACTGGAAGGAGGGACCTAGTCTCAATTTTTGTTGCATTTGAACCAAGCTGATACATATATTCTTCTTTTCTTAACAATATCTACTGTCCTATTTTTTAAAAAAATCATTTTGTAGATTACCTATGTTAACCTTCTAGTTAGAAACATTTGTTAGTATGCATCCTTTGTAATCTGTGGCATAGATGTTTTAAGCGCACACTTGAAGAAAAGGCCAAATATATGATTCCATATTAATATACTCCCTTCTTATAATCACTGATTTATGCAAAGCTGCAAAAAGGAGTGTCCCCCTTAAGCCTTCAAAGCCTCACACCCCACCCAGACTTCCTGCAACAGCACATTACATCTCTTTCTGATCCAGACTATCTCACCATTATGGTTTCTTTTCTGCCAATGCTCATTGCACTGGTTGCTTCTTTCCCATGTATGTCAAGGTCTTTTTCCTTCCTTAATTCATTCATTTTGAGTTTCATGTGACAACTGTGGGCTGCTGCCTTTCCTATTTCAACTTTTTTCCCTCCTTTCCTATTCCAGGCACTCTCACCCAAATTATTCTGACCCAGTCGGATCCAGTACTGAAGAAACCTGGAGAATCTCACAAACTCACCTGTGCTGTCACTGGGTTTGATGTTAACAGCTACGCTATGGGCTGGGTCCGACAAAAACCTGGAAAAGGATTGGAATGGCTTGTTCTCTACTATAAAGCTTGGAGCAGTCAATATTATTCCCCTACAATTCAAGGGCGATTCACAGCCTCAACGGACAGCTCCAACTTCTATCTGCAAATGAACAACCTGAAAGCAGAAGACACAGCTGTCTATTACTGTGCGAGACGCACAGTGAGTGAGATCCCACTAGACCTCAGACAAAAACCCTTCACTGCATTTCATTTTGCGAGAAATAACCAGAGGGGGCAGCAAAGGGCAACAAACCAGAAAGCCACAAACCAGAAGTGATCAATGGTCCACTGATTTCATTTATTGGCTACACTCTAGTCTGCAGTGAGTTGCTCTAATTTTGTCTGCTGCAAAAGAATAGCTCTGAGACAGTGCCCTCCCCTCATTTCCCCCACTTGTGCCTTTCTCTGAGAGAGCTTGTCAGCTTCTTTCCAAACAAAATATATTTTACTTTAACAATGTCTAGGAAGGCAGTTTTTCTATTACGGTATTTCTCATGATCCTTTGTGCTGTTTGAAACTGAACCCACCCATTAGGCTGCAGTTGTGGATGTTCTATTAAGGCCTTCTGATGCAGATTTGTAGGCCTAGGTAGATTGACTGAGGGGAGGTAGGACATAACCTAACCCCTACAGATACCAACCAATGAGGATGTCCATTCTGCACAATGCAAAATTTGTCCCATAGTTGGGCAGCTTCTGCCCTTTGCAACTCCTCACAATTATATGTCAGACAAACACCTCTATTGTCTTTTCAGCAATTGCTAAAGACATTCCTCCTTCATCAAACATTCTAAATTGAGGCATTTATCCCAACTGGTAAGAACATTGGACATGGATTGATTGGAACTGTATAGAAGTGCCTTTTAGCTGGCTGTCCTGGAGTAGAGGACACTTGGATGAATGGGGTCAGAATGGAAAGCATTACCCAAATCTACTCAGCTGGAGAAATGTCATCCTATCTGAGCTGCCCGGGTGCAGCAGGAAACCAGCTGGCTGAACCGAGCCTGGAGCATCTAAGGCTGGCATAAGGATCCCACAAATGGCTTTTCTAGGGAAAATTGCAAGATAAGGACATTACTGCAAGGAGGGATCTAGTTTCAATTTTTATTCCATTCGAACCAGTCTGATACATATATATATATTTATTTATTTTGCAACATCTACTGTTCTATTTTTTAAAATCATTTTGTAGATTACCTGTGTTACCCTTCTAGTTTGAAACGTTTGTTAGTATGCATTCTTTATACTCTGTGGCGTAGATGTTTTAAGTGCACACTTGAAGAAAAGGCCAGAGATATGATTCCATCGTAATATAACCCCTTCTTATATTCGCTGATTTATGCAAAGCTGCAAAAAGGAGTGTCCCCCTTAAGCCTTCAAAGCCTCACACCCCACCCGGACTTCCTGCAACAGCACATTACGCCTCTTTCTGATCCAGACTATCCCACCATTATGCTGACTTCACTGCCAGTGCTCATTGCACTGGTTGCTGCTTTCCCATGTATGCTGAGATCTTTTCCCTTCCTTAATTCATTGTGAGTTTCATGTGATAACTGTGGGATGTTGCTTCTCCTATTTCAGCTATTTTCCCTTCCTTCCTATTCCAGGCACACTCACCCAAATTGTTCTGACCCAGTCAGATCCAGTACTGAAGAAACCTGGAGAATCTAATAAACTCACCTGTGCTGTCACTGGGTTTAATGTTAACAGCTACTATATGGCCTGGGTCTGACAAAAACCTGGAAAAGGACTTGAATGGCTTGTTCTCTATTATAAAGCTGGGAACGATTATAGATATTCCCCTTCGATCCAAGGACGATTCACAGCCTCAACAGACAGCTCAAACTTCTATCTACAAATGAACAGCCTGAAAGCAGAAGACACGGCAGTCTATTACTGTGTGAGACACACAGTGAGTGAGATCCCACTAGACCTCAGACAAAAACACTTCGCTGCATTTCATCCTGTGAAAAATAACCAGAGGCGGCAGCAAAGGGCAACAAAACAGAAAGTCACAAACCAGAAATGACTGATGGTCCACCGATTTCATTTTTTGACCATGCTCCAGTCTGCAGTGAGTTGCTCTAATATTGTCAGATGCAAAAGAACTGTAGGAGTGCAAATATCCAGAGATGTAGTGATCAGGTGGGATTGCTATGAGGAATTATAACAGATATAAAGTAAGCCATCTGTGTCAGCAATGAAAGCATTGCGTTGACTGGGTTTAAACTATTTTGATATGATTTTTGACCAGTCTACACCTCTGCATCTCTGGCCCTTTTGTTGTTGTTTTTTAAATAATATTTATTAATTTTCCAACCGTTTAAACACAACAAAAAACAAACCAAACCAAACCAAACATAAAACTAACAAAACAAGACACAAACCATTTAAAACACAAAACAATTTCAATATCTTATCTTTCATTCCCTTATTTCCACGACCTCCTCACACCTCCCTTTTTGTATTCCACTTCTGTTAATTGTTTCAGCAATTCCTTTCCATCTTCCTCTGTTTTCTATCCTATAATTATCTTAACATATTCTAACCTTATTCTTCCCTTTAATACTCTATTAATCTATTTATACTTGATTCCTTATAACATTTCTACTAAAGCCATATAACTTCATTCCAACATTTTTCTAACATTCATTATTTTTACAATATTTCTATAAATAGTCTTAAACTTTTTCCAATCTTCTTCCACCGACTCTTCTCCCTGGTCTCGGATTTCTGGCAGTCGTTTCCGCCAATTCCATATAGTCCATCAACTTCATCTGCCATTCTTCCCGAATAGATAAATCTTGTGTCTTCCAGTACTTCACAATGAGTATTCTTGCTGCTATTGTTACATACGTAAAAAAAGTTCTATCCTTCTTTAACACCAATTGGCCGACCATGCCCAGGAGAAAGGCCTCTGGTTTCTTCAAAAGGGTATATTTAAATACCTTTTTCATTTCGTTATGAATCATCTCCCAAAGTGTCTTAATCCTTGGGCATGTCCACCAAAGGTGAACTCTAATCCTCAAATTTGTCTGTTTTTCTTTAAGTTCAGTCATAACAAGCGTCAACTTATGTTCATCAAATTGCCTCTGTAGGGCTGGGACTCTCTTTCTCTCCAGTTGTGTTACTTTACATTCAGCAACAACAGCTTTTTCCCTGGCTTCCTCTGCAGTTTGCCGTATCAAAGTAGGTTCCTGTATCAATTTCTGGGTGGTTTCTGTATTGGTATTATTTATACTTTCTGTATTTAAGTTAATTTTAGTAATTGAAACATCCACTTTTGCATTTATCGTGTCCATTTTCCTGTTAAGCTGATCCAGTGAGTCATTTATCTTATATAATGCAGCCACTAAAGCCTCTTCTGTCAAAATTCATCTTGGTTTTAAATATACTGGTACAAAGGCAGCAACAGAAGGAGCAGGGGGGCCTGATGATGGACCTCTCCTGGATTGTTGCCAAGTCCTCCCAGACCTTAATGTTTTGTCAGCAGTTGACTGGTCTGTTTTTCCTCTTCCATTTACCATAACACTTAAAAGATTCAAGGTCAGTCCCAGAGTCTCACAGTTTTTAACTTGCAGCTGGAAATTCCCCTAGCCCAGCTCTTGTAAAGCAACCGGTTTCAAAGGCTTCCACTCGGGGGAAACAGTTTCTAGTTGTAATAGTCAATAGTATCCTCTTTTAAACAATCCAAAATTAGTTTCAAATTAGTTTCAATTTTCAGTTACTTTTACTCCTTTTTAAAGCAGCCGGAGACAGTAGAAACAATGTATTTCTCTTGTTTAACTAACTGTCAATGAACATTCTAAACGCTTTCAATGAACATTCCAAAAGACGTCAGTCCTGCTAGCAGCCCGTTTCCAGGGTCAGAGCAGCGGTGTTTTAAATCTATTCGCTCTCTCCCACAGGCATACTCAATCCGCAACTTCCCCCTCTCTTCTCCTGCCTCCAAGAGGGGGTGTAATGTTTTTTACCGGTGGAAATTTAACCTTTTACAAAAGGCTTTCCAGGACTCCAGCTTGCAACTTCATTGCCTCAGTCTACTTACAAAAGGGGAAGGCAGACTTCCTGTTTTGAACCTCCCCGTTACGGTACCAAATTAAACATTTAGAAATCCAATTCTTCCGCTTCAGCTCTACTCATGGGTAATTACTTTAAAGTCAAATTGTCCACAGGAAAAGGTCAGCGCTCTCCAGCAACAGCTATGTGGCTTCGCTCCGTGGAAGAAGCAGACGATTCGATGCACTGCGCCGCTCACCCCACGTCGCTCCGGATCCCCAAAAACCGGGGTTCCCCGCGAGTGGGGGAGGCGCAAAAGGTGCCCGCCGAATCCCACACTCACAGGCTTCTCCCGCCTGTGATTTTAACGGGTCTCCGCCTTCGCCGTGGCGGCCAGACCCAGATTCCCACGGAGCAGATTCCTCCCGGTCAGAGGAATTCCGCCATTACCGGAGGCACCTCCCCGGAAGACAGACAGGCTCTGCATCTCTGGCCCTTTTGACTCTACTGCCCATTTCTCTCTCCTCATGTCACGTACACAGCGTACACAGCAGTTGCTTCGCCAGGCAGGCTTCCTGGGCCATAAAATAGTAGGTAAGTTACTTTGATGTAGTTTTCTTATATATAATCTAGGATGTTAATCTTAGGGCCAGGAAACAGGTTTCACATTAAGGTGATAATGGTCACTGTCCTCCTGGCCATCCTCCTTATCATGTGTACTGATTGTTTATGACCTCCGGGGTTGCTGTATTTGCTCCTTTGTAGTATTCATTCATTTACCCCAAAAGTATGCATGGATAACTAGTGTTTATAGTTTAACTTTGTCCCCACTTGAGGTTTGTTTGAATGCTCAGAAGAAATCTGATTGGTTCTTACGAGCACTGTGTAAAAGATTCTTTTGCTAATAAAATGGCCTGGTGAGGGGTGTGGTTTACACACTTTTCTCCGAGAGCCTTGCTGGTCAAAGCCTCGTGTCTTGATTTTTTTTTTTTTTTTAAAGAATATTTATTCCAATTTTAAGATTACATAGAAAGAAAAAAGCAGAAAGAGAAAAACAAATCACATACACCCTACAAAAAAAAGAACAACACACGATACAGAAAAAAATACAAAAAAACAAAAAATCACAATACAAAAATAACAAAAAATCAAATTAAACCATTAAGATCATTTTCCCATTTACTTATTTCCGAGACTTCCTCTCACTTCTCTGCTTTGTATTCTAATTTAAGTCGTATCTCCAGCAAACCCTTCTAACCTTCTTTTCATTTACTTAATTTAACATTCAAAAATATTTAATTCTCCTCTTTATTTTACACTACATATTTACTTATTCCATTATACTCTGTCTGCCAATACGGTCTAATATTCTTCTCCAACCTTTTCTAACATTCTTTTATATTACAGTATTTCTGAAGATATGTTTTAAATTTTTTTTCCAATCTTCTTCCATCGACCCTTCTTCTTGGTCTCGTATTCTGCCGGTCATCTCAGCCAGTTCCATATAGTCTATCACTTTTCTCTGCCATTCTTCTCGGGTAGGCAATTCTTGTGTCTCGTGTCTTGATTTTTAATCAGGGTCCAATCCTTCCTTTACTTTGCAAATGCAACAAGAACAGCTCTGTGACAGCTCTGTTAGCACAGGGACTAAGTTGGTTCATATGGGAGAGGTAGTCCTTAAGGGCTTGAGGTCCTAAGCCATGAGGCATTATAGATCAGCACCAGCACTTTGAATTGGTCCCAGAAACTAATTGGCAGGCAGTGCAGTTGGGCCACGATGAATCCTCAGTTCATTCAGATTAGTCTGAAACATATTGTTTTCTTTTTTCCTTTTAAAATCCCCTACTGTTTTATCATTAAAAACATATACAAAGATTTCATGGATCATCTGATATAGGTAGCAGTTTGGGTTTGATCATTTTGTTAATGTGCATGCATAGAATCTATGGCATAGATGTTTTAAGTGCACACTTGATGAGAAGGCAGGATGTGTAGAGTTTAGATTCCATATTAATACTCTCCCTTCTTATGCTCGCTGATTTATGCAAAGCTACAAGGCATTGGGCGTCCTACTTAAGCTTTTAAAGCCTCACTTCTCACACAGACTTATAATGGTGAGGAGTTGCAAAGGGCAGGAGCTGCCACACTAAAGGACCATTTCAACATAGTGTAGAATGGACATCTTCATTGGTTGGTATCTGTAGGGGTTAGGTTATGTCCTACCCCCCCCCCCTCAATCAACCTACCTAGGCCTACAAATCTGCTTGTGAAGGCCTTAATAGAACATCCACAAGTGCAGCCTAATGAGTGGGTTCAGTTTCCAACAGCACAAAAGATCATGAGAAATACCGTAATAGAAAAACTGCCTTCCTAGACATTGTTAAAGTAAAATATCTTTTGTCTTGGAAGGAAGCTGACAAGCTCTCTCAGAGAAAGGCACAAGTGGGGGAAATGAGGGGAGGGCACTGTCTCAGAGCATCTCTTTTGCATCCGACAATATTAATCCACCTCACTGCAGACTGGAGTGTGGCCAATAAATTAAATTGGTGGACCTTTGATCATTTCTGGTTTGTGGCTTTCTGGTTTGTTGCCCTTTGCCCTTTAATAGTTTTCCTTCTTATGCTCACTGATTTATGCAAAGCTACAAGGCATTGGGCGTCCTACTTAAGTTTTAAAGCCCCACTTCTCACACAGACTTCCTGGAACAGCACATTAAATCCCTTTCAGAGCCAGAGCATTGCATCACTATTCCGTCTTTATTGCCAATGCTCATTGCACTGGCTGCCTCTTCCTCATGTCCGTTGAACTTTACATCTACATCTTATTCCTTCCTTCATTTATTGTGGGTTTCATGGGGGCAGTTGCTTTTTCTATCTCATCTATTTCCCACATCCAATTCCAGGTGCCCTCACACAGATAGTTCTGACGCAGTCGGACCCAGTATTGAAGAAACCTGGAGAACCCCATAAACTCACCTGTGCAGTTACTGGATTTGATGTTAATAGAATTGTTATGGAGTGGGTCTGGCAAAAACCTGGAAAAGGATTGGAATGGCTTGTTCGCTACTATAAACCATGAATCAGTCAATATTATTCCCCTACAATCCAAGGGCGATTCACAGCCTCAACAGACAGCTCCAGCTTCTATCTGCAAATAAACAACCTGAAAGCAGAAGACACGGCAGTCTATCACTGTCCAAGAGACACACTGAGTGAGATCCCACTAGACCTCACATAAAAACCCTTCACTGCATCTCATTTTGTGAGGAATAACCACAGGGGGCAGCAAAGGGCAACAAGCCAGAAAGCCAGAAACCAGAAATGATCAATGGTCTCCAATTTAATTTATTGGCCACACTCCAGTCTGCAGCGAGGTGGATTAATATTGTCGGATGCAAGAGAGATGCTCTGAGACAGTGCCCTCCCCACATTTACCCAACCTGTGCCTTTCCCTGAGAGAGCTTGTCAGCTTCCAACCAAGACAAAAGCTATTTCTCTTTAACAATGTCCAGGAAGGCAGTTTTTCTAGTACAGTTTTTTTATGATCTTTTGTGCTGTTGGAAACTGAATCCACTCATTAGGCTGCAGTTGTGGATTTTTTCATCTCCCCCAAGCTAAGCAGTTGGCTCCTTATCTCTCTCGCCCTGACCTAGCCACTGTGATCCATGTGACGGTCACTTCCAGACTGGATTATTGTAACTCGCTCTACGTGGGGCTGCCCTTGAGACTGACCCAGAAACTCCAGCGGGTGCAGAATGCCGCGGCGAGACTCCTTATGGGGTCTTTGCTGCGAGATCATATTCATCCGGTACTATACCAGCTGCACTGGCTCCCGGTGGAGTACAGGATCAGGTTTAAGGTGCTGGTTTTAACCTGTAAAGCCCTATACGGCCTAGGACCCTCGTACCTACGGGACCACCTCTCCTGGTATGTCCCACAGAGAAATTTACGGTCTGCAAATAAAAACATCCTGAAGATCCCAGGCCACAGAGAGGTTAGGCTGGCCTCAACTAGAGCCAGGGCTTTCTCGGCCGCGGCTCCAATCTGGTGGAACGCTCTGTCACAAGGGACTAGGGCCCTGCGGGACCTGACATCTTTCCGCAGGGCCTGCAAGACAGAGCTGTTCCACCAGGCCTTTGGTCAGGGCGCAGCCTGACCCCCTCCTCTGGCAATCGGGACAGAATTTTGCTTAATGGTTGCCATCAATTTGATTTTAATTAATTTTATAATGAATGTTTTTAGAATGTTGGATTATTTTTATTGTTGTTAGCTGCCCTGAGCCCAGCTTCGGCTGGGGAGGGCGGGATATAAATAAAATTTATTATTATTATTATTATTATTATTATTATTATTATTATATTAAGGCCTTCACGTGCAGATTTGTAGGCCTAGTTAGGTTGATTGAGGGGGGATAGGACATAACCTAACCCCTACAGATACCAACCAATGAAGATGTCCATTCTGCACAATGCAAAATTGGTCCCATAGTGAGGCAGCTCCTGCCCTTTGCTACTCCTCACCATTATATATCAGACAGGAACTTCCTCTGTTGTCTTGGCAGCAACTTCTAAAGACATTCCTCCTTCATCAAACATTTTAAAATGAGATATTTATCCCAACTGGAAACATTATAGGACACGAATTGATTGGAGGTGTATATAAGTGCCTTCTCAGCTAGCAGTCCTGGAGCAGAATACAGTTTGATGAATGAGATCAGAATGCAGTGCCTCACCCAAATCCACTCAGTTGGAGAAATGTCATCCTACCTGAGCTGTCTGGATGCAACATTAATCCAGGTGGCTGAACAGAGGCTGGAGGATCTACAGTTGGTATTACGACCCCCAAAAGTAGTTACAGGGGACATGGCAAGGCCAGGACAATGCAGTAAGGAGAAAACTAGTCTAAATTTTTATTCCATTTGTACCAGACTGATAATTATATTTTTTCATAAATTAACAAAATCTACAGGGTTGTTTTTTTTTAAAATCATTTTGTAGATTACCTATGTTACCCATCGAGTTTTATACCTTTGTTTACAAGCAGTCTATGTAATCTGTGGCATAGATGTTTTAAATGCACACTTGATGAAAAGACAAGAGATATGGTTGCATATTATATTGGTTCCTCCCCTCTTATATTCGTTGATTTATGCAAAGCTGCAAAAAGTAGTCTCCCTCTTCAGGCTTAAAAGTCTCACACCGCACCCAGACTTCCTGCAATGGCACATTAAGTCTCTTTCTGATCCAGACTATCCCACCATTATGCTGTCTTTACTGCCAGTGCTCATTGCCTTGGCTGCCTCTTTCCCATGTATGTTGAGGTCTTTTTCCTTCCTTAATTCATTGTGAGTTCCATGTGATAACTTTGGGCTGTTGCTTTTCCTATTTCAGCTTTTCCCCCTGCCTTCCTTTTCCAGGCACCCTCACACAAATTGTTCTGACTCAGTCGGATCCAATACTGAAGAAACCTGGAGAATCCCATAAACTCACCTGTGCTGTCACTGGGTTTGATGTTAACAGCTACTATATGGACTGGTTTCGACAAAAACCTGGAAAAGGATTGGAATGGCTTGTTCACTACTACAAACCTGGGAGCACTGATTATTATTCCCCTACAATCCAAGGGCGATTCATAGCCACTAAGGACAGCTCCAACTTCTATCTGCAAATGAACAACCTGAAAGCAGAAGACACGGCTGTCTATTACTGTGCAAGACACACTGAGTGAGATCCCACTAGACCTCAGACAAAAACCCTTCACTGCATTTCATTTTGTGAGAAATAAGCACAGGGGGCAGCAAAGGGCAACAAACCAGAAAGCCACAAACCAGAAATGACTGATGGTCCACCGATTTCATTTTTTGACCAGGCTCCAGTTTGCAATGAGTTGCTCTAATTTTGTCTGCTGCAAAAGAACAGCTCTGAGACAGTGCCCTCCCCTCATTTCCCCCACCTGTGCCTTTTTCTGAGAGACCTTGTCAGCTTCTTTCCAAGACAAAAGATATTTTCCTTTAACAATGTCCAGAACGGCCGTTTTTCTAGTGTAGTTTTTCTCATGATCTTTTGCGCTGTTGGAAACTGAACCCACTCTTTAGGCTGCAGTTATGGATTTTCTGTGAAGGCCTTCTGATGCAGATTTGTAGGCCTAGATTGATTGATTGATTGAAGGGAGGTAGGGCATCACCTTAACCCTACAGATACCAACCAATGAGGATGTCCATTTTGCACAATGCAAAATTGGTCCCATGGTGGGGCAGCTCCTGCCCTTTGCAACTCCTCACCATTGTGTGTCAGACAAACACCTTTATTGTCTTTTCAGCAATTGCAAAAGACATTCCTCCTTCATCAAACATTCTAAATTGAGGCATTTATCCCAATTGGTAAGAACATTGGACATGAATTGATTGGAGGTGTATATAAGTGCTTTTTAGCTGGCTGTCCTGGAGCAGAGGTCACTTGGATGAATGGGGTCACAATGGAGTGCATCACCCAAATCCACTCAGCTGGAGACATGCCATCCTATCTCAGCTGCCCAGCTGCAGCAGGAATCCAGCTGGCTGAACTAACCTGGAGCACCTAAGGCTGGCATAATGATCCCCAAATGGCTGTTCTAGGGAAATTGGCAAGTTCAGGACATTACTGGAAGGAGGGACCTAGTCTCAATTTTTATTCCATTTGAACCAAGCTGATACATATATTCTTCTTTTCTTAACCGTATCTACTGTCCTATTTTTTTTAAAAAAAATTGTTTTGTAGCTTACCTATGTTAACCTTCTAGTTTGAAACGTTTCTTAGTATGCATCCTTTATAATGTGGCATAGATGTTTTAAGCGCACACTTGAAGAAAAGGCCAAAGATATGATTCCATATTAATATACTGCTTTCTTATAATCACTGATTTATGCAAAGCTGCAGAAAGGAATGTCCCCCTTAAGCATTCAAAGCCTCACACCCCACCCAGACTTCCTGCAACAGCATATTACATCTCTTTCTGATCCCGACTATCCCACCTTTGTGGTTTCTTTACTGCCAATGCTCATTGCACTGGTTGCTTCTTTCCCATGTATGTCAAGGTCTTTTTCCTTCCTTAATTCATTCATTCTGAGTTTCATGTGATAACTGTGGGCTGTTGCTTTTCCTATTTCAGCTTTCCCCCCTGCTTTCCTATTCCAGGCACTCGCACCCAAATTATTCTGACCCATTCGAATCCAGTACTGAAGAAACCTGGAGAATCTCACAAACTCACCTGTGCTGTCACTGGGTTTGATGTTAACAGCTATGCTATGGGCTGGTTCCGACAAAAACCTGGAAAAGGATGGGAATGGCTTGTTCACTACTATAAAGCTTGGAACAGTCAATATTATTCCCCTACAATTCAAGGGTGATTCACAGCATCAACAGACAGCTCCAACTTCTATCTGCAAATGAACAACCTGAAAGCAGAAGACACGGCTGTCTATTACTGTGCAAGAGACACACTGAGTGAGATCCCACTAGACCTCAGACAAAAACCCTTCACTGCATTTCATTTTGTGAGAAATAAGCACAGTGGGCAGCAAAGGGCAACAAGCCAGAAATGATGAATGGTCCACCAATTTCATTTATTGGCCACACTCCAGTCTGCAATGAGGTGCTTTAGTATTGTCTGATGCAAAAGAACAGCTCTGAGACAGTGCCCTCCCCTCATTTCCCCCACCTGTGCCTTTTTCTGATACAGCTTGTCAGCTTCTTTCCAAGACAAAAGATATTTTCCTTTAACAATGTCTAAGAAGGCAGTTTTTCTATTACGGTTTTTTTCATGATCTTTTGTGCTGTTGGAAACTGAACCCACTCTTTAGGCAGCAGTTGTGGATTTTCTGTGAAGGCCTTCTGATGAAGATTTGTAGGCCTAGGTAGATTGACTGAGGGGAGGTAGGACATAACCTTAACCTTACAGATACCAACCAGTGAGGATGTCCATTCTGCACAATCAGCTGGAGAAATGTCATCCTACCTGAGCTGCCCGGGTGCAGCAGGAATCCAGCTGGCTGAATAGAGCCTGGAGAATCTAAGGCTGGCATAAGGATCCCCAAACGGCTGTTCTTGGGAAAACAGCAAGGTCAGAACATTACTGGAAGGAGGGACCTAGTCTCAATTTTTATTCCATTTGAACCAGACTGATACATATATGTATTTATTTATTTTGCTATATCTACTGTTCAATTTTTAAAAATCATTTTGTAGATTCTCTGTGTTACCTATTGAGTTTGATACCTTTGTTGATAAGCATTCTATATAATCCCTGGCATAGATGTTTTAAAAACACACTTGATGAAAAGGCAAGAGATATGGTTCCATATTAATATACTCCCTTCTTATAATCACTGATTTATGCAAAGCTGCAAAAAGGAGTGTCCCCCTTAAGCCTTCAAAGCCTCACACCCCACCCAGACTTACTGCAACAGCACATTACGTCTCTTTCTGATCCAGACTATCCCACCAATATGCTGTCTTTACTGCCAGTGCTCACTGCATTGGCTGCTTTTTTCCCATGTATGTTGAGGTCTTTTTCTTTCCTTAATTTATTCATTGTGAGTTTCATGTGATAACAGAGGGCTGCTGCTTTTCCTATTTCAGCTATTTTTCCTCCCTTCCTATTCCAGGCACCCGCACACAAATTGTTCTGACTCAATCGGATCCAGTACTGAAGAAACCTGGAGAATCTCACAAACTCACCTGTGCTGTCACTGGGTTTAATGTTAACAGCTACGTTATGGGTTGGGTCCGACAAAAACCTGGAAAAGGATTGGAATGGCTTGTTCGCTACTATAAAGGTTGGAGCAGTCAAGAGTATTCCCCTGCAATCCAAGGGCGATTCACAGCCTCAGCAGACAGCTCAAACTTCTATCTGCAAATGAACAACCTGAAAGCAGAAGACACAGCAGTCTATTACTGTGCGAGAGACACAGTGAGTGAGATCCCACTAGACCTCAGACAAAAACCCTTCACTGCATTTCATTTTGTGATAAATAAGCACAGGGGGCAGCAAAGGGCAACAAGCCAGAAATGATGAATGGTCCACCAGTTTCATTTATTGGCCACACTCCAGTCTGCAATGAGGTGCTTTATTATTGTCTGATGCAAAAGAACAGCTCTGAGACAGTCCCTTCCCTCATTTCCCCCACCTGTGCCTTTCTCCGAGAGAGCTTGCCAGCTTCCTTCCAAGACAAAAGATATTTTCCTTTACCAATGTTTAGGAAGACAGTTTTTCTAGTGCAGTTTTTCCTCATGATATTTTTTGCTGTTGTAGACTGAAGGCACACATTAGGCTGCAATAGTGGATGTTTAGTTAAGGCCCTCTTATGCAGATCTGTAGGCCTATGTTGATTGATTGAGGGGAGGCAGGATCTAACCTAACCCCGGCAATAGAAACAAAAGAAAATAAACAAAATAAAATAATAATTTTTTTAAAAATCCTTTCAGTAGCACCTTAGACACCAACTAAGTTAGTTATTGGTATGAGCTTTCGTGTGCATGCATACGTCTTCAGATACCTACCTACCTACCTACCTACCTACCTACCTACCTACCTGTAACTAACCCCTGCAGATACCAACCAATGAAGATGTCCATTCTGCACAATGTTAAATTGGTTCTTTAGTGTGGTGGCTCCTGACATTTGCAACTCCTCACCTTTATATATCAGACAGGCAGCTTCTCTATTGTCGTTTCAGCAATTGCTAAATTGCTTAAAAGACAATACAGTCCAGAAGATATGGCTCTCTATTACTGTGCAAGAGTCACAGTGAGTGAGATCCCACTAGACAGTCTGATGAAAGCATTCAGTCTCCAACAACACAAAATTTCATATGAAAAGATGCACCTGGGGAACTTCTGCCTTCCTCAATATTCGTAAAGGAACAGGGGCCTTTTCTGGAAGGAAGTTTAAAAAAAAAATCAAAGATGTGGGAGATTTGGGGCAGAGGATTGTCTCAGAACTTACCCTTTGTATTGGAACAAGAAAGCTATGGAACAACTTACTGCAGGCAGAACCTAGGCTAAAGAATTGCAGCTGTTGGGCATTTATAATTTCACAGCTTTATATAGTGGTACCTCAGGTTAGATACGCTTCAGGTTAGATACGCTTCAGGTTAGATATGCTTCAGGTTACAGACTCCACTAACCCAGAAATAGTGCTTCAGGTTAAGAGCTTTGCTTCAGGATGAGAACAGAAATTGTGCTCTGGCGGCACGGTGGCAGCAGGAGGCCCCATTAGCTAAAGTGGTGCTTCAGGTTAAGAACAGTTTCAGGTTAAATACGGACCTCCAGAACAAATTAAGTACTTAACTCGAGGTACCACTGTACATCCGTTCTGCAACTGGTTTTACTGGTTTGTGCATCTTTGGTACCCCATCTGGCAATTAGTCACCAAATCAAAGGCAGTGAAGCGTTTTTGTCATCAGACTTTATTTTTGTGTGCATTCTTTTTGGGCCTTCTTATAAATTTGTGTTCAGTAAGATTGGATACTAAGTAGATTAAATGTGGGGAGCTTTGCATTAACATAAATCCTACAGATAATGCTAATAATAATAATAGCAATAGGAATAATAATAATTTCTTCAATTTATATACAGCGTTTTATACAAAAATCAGAGGCCTGTATGCAACATTAAGAACATTATTTACAATACATAATAAAAAAACATGATGCAGTGCATAATATTACAAAGCATAATAAGAAAATGATCAAAATAACAGTCTCCACCACACAGACTTTTAACACGCCATAGATTATTTAATATGTGAAGGTCTGGGTAAAGAGGAATGCATTCACCAGTCACCTAAAGACCTGCAATGATGGAGCTATTCCACAGATGGGGAGCCACCACAGAAAAAGCCCATTTCATGTTGTCACCCTCCAAAACCTCTCAGGGAGAGAAGACAAAGAGAATGGCCTTGGGTGACAGGCACAGGAACAAGGTCGGTTCATATGGGAGAGACGGTCGGTAACTCATTGAGGTCATGAGCCATGAGGCTTTATAGATCAGCACCAGCACTTTGAATTGGGCCCAGAAACTAATTGGCAGCCAGTGCAGTTGGGCCAGGATCAATCCTTAGTCCATTCAGATTAGTCTGAAACATATATTGTTTTCTTTTTTCCTTTTAAAATCCCATGCTGTTTTATTATTAAAAACATATACAAAGATTCATGGATCATCTAATATAGGTAGCAATTTGGGTTTGATAATTTTGTTAATGTGCATGCATAGAATCTATGGCATAGATATTTTAAGTGCACACTTGATGAGAAGGCAGGATGTGTGGAGTTTGGATTCCATATTAATAGTCTCCCTTCTTATGCTCACTGATTTATGCAAAACTACAAGACATTGGGCGTCCTACTTAAGCCTTCAAAGCCTCACTTCTCACACAGACTTCCTGGAACAGCACATTAAGTCCCTTTCAGAGCCAGAGCATTGCATCACTATGCCGTCTTTATTGCCAATGCTCATTGCACTGGCTGCCTCTTCCTCATGTGCGTTGAACTTTACATCTACATCTTATTCCTTCCTTCATTTAATGTGGGTTTCATGTGGGCTGTTGCTTTTTCTATCTCATCTATTTCCTGCTTCCAATTCCAGGTGCCCTCACACAGATAGTTCTGACGCAGTCGGACCCAGTATTGAAGAAACCTGGAGAATCCCATAAACTCACCTGTGCTGTTACTGGATTTGATGTTAATGACAATATTATGGAGTGGGTCCGGCAAAAACCTGGAAAAGGATTGGAATGGCTTGCTGAGTACTATACACCTGGGACCAATTATTATTCCCCTACAATTCAAGGGCGATTCACAGCCTCAGCGGACAGCTCCAACCTCTATCTGCAAATGAACAACCTGAAAGCAGAAGACACGGCTGTCTATTACTGTGCGAGAAGCACAGTGAGTGAGATTGCAGTAGACCTCAGACAAAAACCCTTCACTGCCTTTGATTTGGTGACAAATTGCCAGAGGGGGCAGCAAAAGGCCAGAAACTAGAAAAGCAAGTTACAGAACACAGCCTTCACTCTTTGGCCTATATTCTGCCTAAAGTGAATTGCTCCAGTTTTCCTGTTCCAGTTGAAAACAGCAGTTCTGAAACATTCAAGGCAGTCAATTCCTCTGTGCCCACCATATTTCCACAACTAGTACCCTGTCCTCTCATTTCTACACTCCCAATTGTACATAAAATCCTTCCTCGCCACCTGCAGTAATCAGAGGTTGATAAAGGCACCAATTCTTCCTCTTCTTTACCTCTCCCTCATATAAATGAACAGTTCTCCTCTTCTCTCTTGCATTCTTCTATTCGACAGTCTTCTCTTCCTCACCCCCTCACATCCAAGCAATTCCTCTTCCCTCAACTTTCTTGCATTTTCCACAGTTCCCTCCCCTCTACTCTCTCCCTCACATTTTTATTCCCTGCTCTCTCCACTTCTTTTTGTCCCTTCCTCCTCCTGCTTTCACCCTTTGCTGACCATGGTGGATACACTAATGCTCCTTTATTCCCTTTCCTAAGTAGCTGCTTCTTTGAGATCAAAATGTGGCACAAGCACAATAATGTAGCATTTTGTGTGTGTGGTGTGGGGATACATACAACCCAGTAACTCAGCACTGGAAGTCAAGATGGAGAAAATTTCCACAGCTACCATGTATTTTCCCTTGGTACTTAGAGAAGACTCCCTGGAAAAGACCATGTTGTTTTCTTTTAAAGAACTCTACCTTCTGCTATACTTTCCATAGGTGTATATATAAACACACCTGTCTAATTCAAGTAATCGTATGGGTTTCTTACATTTGTTGAGGTGCATGTAATCAAATCTATGTCACAATTGTTTTAGGCATGCATTAGAAAAGTATGTGGAAAATTTGGATCTTATTAAGACACCCTCTTCCAATGCTCACCGATTTATGCAAAGCCATGAGAATGATGAGTTCCTACTTAAGCCCTCAAAGCCTCTCACTTCACATAGACTTCCTGGCAAGGCACACAGGCTCCTTTTGAAATCCAGTCCATCGTTCCAGTATGCGGTTTTTCTTTTCCGTGCTTATTGCACTCGCTGCCTCTTCCTCATGTGTGTTGGGCTTTCATTTTATTCCTTCCTTCACTCAGTCTGGGTTTTATAATGGGCTTTTGTATGACAGCTATTTCTTCTTCCTTTTTCCTTCATTCCAGGTGGCCTCACACAGAGAATTCTGACCCAGTCGGAATCTTCAGCATTGAAGAAACCTGGAGAATCCCATAAGTTGACCTGTGCCATCACTGGATTTGATACTGACAAATACTGGATGGGCTGGTTCCGACAAAAACCTGGAGAAAGATTGGAATGGCTTGTTCATTATGCACGCTATGGTTACACTGATTATTATTCCCCTACAATCCGAGGGCGATTCACAGCCTCTTAAGGACACCTACACCTTCTATCTGCAAATGAACCGCCTGAAATCAGAAAACACAGCTGTCTATTACGGTGCAAGATTCGCAGTGAGAGAGATCCCAGTAGACCTCAGACAAAAACCCTTCCATTTGGTGGCAAATCATCACAAGAGATGGCATCAAAGAGCCACAAACCAGAAAGGCATGGTACAGAACAGATGCATAAAGGGAGGGAAATATCAATGATCCACAGCTGTCATTCTTTGGCCAAGCTCCAGCCTGCAGTGAACTGTTCCAAGATCTTTCTGTTCCAATGCTAAACATCTGTTCAGAGACAGTGTCCTTCCCCCACCTCCCTTTCTCTCAGGCATCCCACCCAAAACAATGTGGCTAATATGTGCACTTTTTAATTGTAACTGCACTTATTGTATTTTAAAATGTAACCTGATAATTGAAACTGCACTTATTGTATTTTAAAATGTAACCTGATAATTGAAACTGCACTTATTGTATTTTAAAATGTAACCTGATAAATTTGTCTCCCTGCTTCTTTTGTTTTTCAGTTTGGTTGCAAAAGTTAAAAATGAACAGTCTTAGCCTTCATTGTTAAATAATACTTTTATTTCTTGAATCTGTTCAGATATGTGACAAAAATGAAATGAATCAGCTGGTATTATATCTTGAACTAACTGATATGGGAGGTCCACAGCTTCCATTGCCACAAACACCTCACAAGAAATGCAAAAGTAATATCAGATTAGCATTATAATATAATGAAATATAATGGTAATGGTAATTATAATATAATGAAATGTAATGGTAATGGTAATTATAATATAATAAAATAAAATATAATGATAATGAAATCATATTATGACATAATTTAATAATTTTTCTTTATCTGTTGTTCCTTAGTGTTCAACTTAGGCTTCAGCAGAATAATGTAACATTTAGGTCCAAAGATACAACCCAATAACCCCGCACTAGAGGCTAAGATAGAGAAGATCTCTACTGCTACCATATATTTCCCCTTGGTGCTCAGGTAGGTAGGGACAAAGGACAACCAAACACTGCAAAACAGCAACATGCTGAAGGTGATAAATTTGGCCTCGTTGAAAGTGTCCGGCAACTTCCTGGCCAGGAAAGCCACATTGAAGCTGATGATGGCTAGAAGGCCCATGTAGCCCAGGACAAGATAAAACATGAGGACAGAACCTTCATTGCATTCAACTATGATCTCTGTAGCCTGGGATTGCAGGTCCAAATCTGGGAATGGAGGAGAGGTTGCCAGCCACACTACACAGATTCCTACTTGAATAAGAGAACAGGAAAAGACAATGGAGTTGGTCAGTTTTTTGCCCACTAATTTCCTCATGCTTGACCCTGGCTTTGTGGCCATGAAGGCGACAACTACCGTGACGGTTTTGGCCAGCAAACAAGAAACAGCTACAGAGAAGACAATGCCAAAAGTAGTTTGACGGAGAATGCAGGTCACCTTCGTAGGTCTTCCAAGAAACAGCAAAGAACAGAGGAAGCAGAGGAGGAGGGAGACAAGGAGAATGTAGCTGATGTCCCGATTGTTGGCTTTGACTATAGGGGTATCTCTGTTCTTGATGAAAATTCGCAGCACGAAAGCTGTGATGAATGAAAGAGAAACAGAAACCAAACTAAAACTGATCCCCAAATATTCTTCATAAGATAGATATGTCATAACTTTGGAGATGCATCTGTCTCTACTCTGGCTTGGATACTGCTCATCTGGGCATTTAAAGCATTCATCCATGTCTGGAAAAAAGAAAGGATCCGTCATTGTGCCAATTTCTATGTAAATTGAGTCTCATTCTTAGAACGCTGTTCAATGTGGGATTTGTTGGTCATTCTGACATCTTATTATTATATTTGTATCCTACTTTTGCTGCAGGGAGTTGGCCAAGAGACCAATCCAGCATCAGTGCACTGGACCCAGAACATCCTATTCACATTTCTGCCTGACACTGTCAAAAAATGATAAGAACAGGGCAAAAGTGAACCCACTGTTGAACATGCTCTTAACCCAACAGACTTCAGTGGAAGAATGATTTCTGTAATTTTGGGGGCTGGAGGTTCCAACTCAGCTTAACCGAAATACAAAGCCTCCATTGGCTTGAATAGGCAGAATCAGATCCTGCAATTTGGAAAATGGCCAGTGTGGCCAATCTTTATATCACCTTTTCTTCCTGAGTATTTGCAAAAGTGCTCAAAACACACACAAAAATGGCAAATTGTTGGCTAGAATAATTGGTGAAGTGCATCACCTACCTTTTTGGTCCGATATTTTCCCTTCTGGGCAGGGAGCACAATCATAGCAGCAAAACTTCTCCCCTTCTCTCTTTTTCTTCTGATAACCAGGAGGGCAGGAATCACTGCATACAGAAATAGGCACCACCTATTAGGGGCAATGAAGAGAGACTGGAGTTGGAAAAATTGTGTGTAGGGCACCAGGGGCAGGGGAGAATCTTCATTTACTGGCAGGCAAAGAAACAAGAAAATAGTAGACTAGTATACTAGAAGGAAGCTGGGAATCTCACTTTACATACCCCTCAACTATCCCACTTAAAACGGGACATCTTGAAAATTACAGAAGCTATCCCAGCTTCTGATTGGCTCCTGGGATGTCCTGTTTTGGCTCCCACAAGACCATGGCCCTGAAAAACATACATTTTTGGGCACCATGCTCTTGCACATCTCACTTGGCTCACCAAGGAGCGTGGCCCAAAAGACGCACATCCTTGTTTTCCTTCTGGGCATGTTGGAGGGTGTGACCTTCACAGATCCACTATCAAGCGGCAAAGGTAGAGAGGGGATTTATTGGGTGAGGCCTTAAATGTTCTTCATATTTTGGGATGTTGGATTTTGCTGTCTCAGGAAAGAAGCAGCAGTGATGCTAGAATAATCATTTACTGATCCAGAGCCATTTTGTTCCACAGTGCTCCAGGATCCCCCCCCCCTCAGGTCTTCTCCTACAAAATAGCATGGCTGCAGCCATATAGCTCCCTCCCCCAAAATTAATGTGGCATTTTTATTCATTTTGGCCATTCATATAACTGAATTCAGAGAGAGAGAGAGAGAGGTGGAGGTGTTATGTGTTCCAATTTCTCTGGTTATGGAGGAGGGAAGATGGCCTGTTGTGAATGGAGTTGCACTCCCCTAGAAGGAGCAGGTTCTTTACTTGGGCGTACTCCTGGATCCAACTTTGTCATTTGAGGTCTAGGTGGCCATGGTGGCTAGCAGTGAGTGCTTATTTTCAGTTATGGCTGGTTGGCCAACTACTGCCCCATTTTACAGAGAAATTAATTGACTATGGTACTTCCATATTGGATAGCTGCAATGCAATCTGTATGGGGCTGCCCTTGAAGATTTCCATGTGTGTTTATATGTAAATAAAGTAGATTAGCCAAAATGCTGAGTTGCTGAGATCTGTTATGCAACTGTGCAGACTCTGTGGATCCCTAAGTGTTCCAGTGTCGGTTGGCATCAGTCGCTTTGATGTTCAGGCTGAAGAAAGCTTATGAAGTTCCCGAACGATCGACCAGGAGAGAGGGAACATGCCAGTCGAGCATGTGCCTCTGCCAGGGTCCTACTCGAGTGTAGGCTGAACTCCTGACATGATATGCCACCTGATCCAAAAAGCAATAGCCAGGTTACTGGCTAGCGAGGGTTTCCTTTAGAGCACGTAGAATCCCTATTTCTAAAACAGCTGCATGGATTGCCAGTTGATCTCTGGGCTGCATTTAAGGTGTGTCAAAAGCTGCAAACAACATAGGCAACACTATCTGCTTCTTTACAGAACTCTCAGGTATTAAGATCAGAAGAAGGGGCCTCTTTTGCATTGTCACTGTACAGTGGTACCTCGAGTTAAGTACTTAATTCATTCTGGAGGTCCGTTCTGAACCTGAAACTGTTCTTAACCTGAAGACCACTTTAGCTAATGGGGCCATCAACAAAAATAAAACTACAGTACCAAAAACTCATTTCAGTTACCACTATGAATGTCCCCCCCCCGAGCCCACCGACCACCTCACTCAGGGTTTATCTTTCTCCTGCTCATTCCTACCCAAGTTGAAAAGGGCCTGGTAAACATTCCCATTTAGCATGTTGCTACTTGTACATATCAATTTGCTTTCATTTATTTGCTGCATTAATATACCACCTCCCTTTAGTTCTAGAATGCAATAGGTGCCAGTAACTCTATCATGGGATCAGTACATGGTAAAGTTAGTTAGTAAAGGAAACTTTTAGCCCCACCTCCACCCCTATCACCTATCCTGAATAGTCTACACTGATCCTGGAGTTCTTGCCCAGAGTATCAAAGAATCCACACCTGATTAAAGCTCCTGTGCCACACAATGAATTTGTCATTAATGATGAACTGTTTCCCTTCACCAGCATTCAGATTCACCATTCCAACTTTCATTTTAAGGAAGGAATTGTTTGGGAATAGGTCCATGCTCATGATATCAAAGCTGGCTATTAATTCTCCACAATCATTTAAAGACACATTTTCTCCAGCTGGGTTGTTAAATGAAATGCCTTGAAGAAATGGGTGGAGCTGGTGAGAACAAAACGGAAATATAGTGGAGTCTCCTTTTTTTGGTGCAGTTTTATGAATATGTTCCTTGCTATTCAAATTTTTCATATATTTTTCATATGCGCATGAGTACACACACACACACACACACACACACACACGGAGGACCCAAGAGTGAAGAACATTGTTATAAGGTCCTTTGGGCACAAGCCAATAAGAATGACAACAAGAAATGCATCACTACATTGGTGAGACATGCTCTTTTATTTCATGCTGATTACTTCATTATAATGAAGCATTTCACTGAGGAAATATTACCTGCCAAGGTTGAACACTGCGAAGGTCAAGCCTTGCAAACCCCATCACTGCTCTGTATTTGATCCAAGAGGATTCCATGGCATGCAGCGCATAAGCTATGGCATAGACAGCATTATAGACATTGTAACTGTGGCCAGTCATGCTCATTTCAAACACAGACCTGGGAAGGCTCTCCAGTCTCTCTTCTCCAGTACATGTTATGCTCAACTTTGCTGGCAACCTGGGATTTGGAAAAGAACATTCAAATGCCTGCTCCCAAAAAACCTTGAAAAATCCATCTTCTTTGGGAGGATGAGTTTTTTTGTTCTGGATGTATGTGCGGAATCCACGAGGCTCATTCGAGTGAATTGCAAAGGATATTGTGCCATCGAATATTTGAAAGTTCCATCTCCTTAAAATGAATGTTACAGAAAAATCTATCTGAGCTGTCATAATCCACACTCTTCCAGCAGATGTGTTTTTCCCCAAGTCGGGGATTAAAAAGGCTACAATGGTGGTCAACCACATGAAGGTCATAGTTTCACCATAAGTGACAAATGCTTTGGCTTTGCTCTCCATGAAAGGCACGTTAATACTCCATCCCATATCAA